CATACAGAACAAACAGAAGAAGTTGCTTCATAAGGTGGATCTTTTAGTGGCTCTTCTGTTTGTGTCAGTGGTATCCCACTCTTCCCACCAGCTCTTCTGAAATCACCTCATGCCCCTGAACTGTTTCCTTTTCTTCCTCTTCCCTCCTTGTCCCCCTTTCCTCTTGTGTCATGCTGTTAGGTTATATGCCTGTGGGCAGGGACTGTCTTGCTACAAATGGTTGTATGTAAACCACTCTGGGAGCATTTGTGACTGTAGACATGCTCTAAATAAATGAATAAGTGGAAGTGAATGTTAATAAACTCTTAAAGGCCAAAGGAGACGTGGTGTGGGTGGGAGGTCCATGAACTGTTTTGACTTCTTTTTTTACTTAAGCAGCTGTGTGCTGCAATGGTGGTGATGGATTAGAACAGGCAGTAATCTTTTACCTACATTCTCCCCCTCCCCCAGTCCTGCTGTTATTAATCCTACTGATGGAAAAGACAGTTACCTGTATCATATCTGTGTTATTTTTCTCCAGCTGGGTAATAACTTGGAGGGGGCGGGAAATCAAAACCCCAGATCTCCCAAGTCACATCTGTTTTCACTCTGAGCAATAAGAATAGCATCTAGAAGTTTTTATTAGACTTCATTGGGCATTTTAGCATAATTCTGTGTCAGTCTTGTTTAGGATGATGGAAAACTGTTCTTAATTATAAACTAGCCAGAATAAAGGGCAACTATTGTATGCCTTAGGTTAAGTGGCGGTTTGGCCATGCATTTATCTTTTTATTTTAAATTGTAGCCATGCTGTTGTTGTTTCTCGCTTCTTACTTGTTATTTGTCAATGTCTCTGAATGTTACAAGCCCAAGAGTAAAAAGCAGAATTGTTAAACTGTGCATTCTAGGCAATGCAGGCATTGTATTGAATTTCAGCTGTGATAAACACAAAAGCAGGCTTGATTGTGACACGTAAACTCCCTAATTGATCATTTTGTTTAGTGCTCTATCTTGACATCCAGAGGGTTTTGCAGAAGGGGGAGAAAGAAACCCTCCCAACTTTTTATATGAAAGTGAAGAAGTGACAGGCGGGCCAACTTTGCATGCCACCCATTAATTAGAGGATCAGAAAACTTATTTTAAGGAGGGAACATAGCTAGTTTTGCTCCAGAATGTCCTATCAAATCCTGGGTTTCAAAAAGTACTTGAAGTGCATCCCAAATATATTTTGAGGTCAACTTAGCTGGTCTTCTGTCACAACATAGGTGTTTGCTGTTTTGCATGGCACCATTACTGGCCATGAATAGGCTTGGAAATGTTTGCTCACCATTTCTTGCCAGACAAAAGTTCAGAATGCTCCAATGAGCATTGTGAATACACTTCTTGGCAATTGAATGTTTCTGACTGCTGGCAGGCATCTCCCTGATTCAGAATGAATTTTTCTTTCCTTCCTTTCTTCTGGTAGTACCCTTCCTTCTTCCCTTGTGTGTGGAAAGAAGCAGGCTTTGCACAGAGGACTTAGTTGATCCATGTTTGGATCCAGGTTGTCAGCATCTGCGTTACAGATTAATGTTATAGGTCATAGCAGAAGGAGGGGAGACAGTGCATCTTGGAAGTGCTTCTGTTTCCCTGATCACCTCCTTGCCATTCCTGCACATTTTAATGACGTTAATGGCATTCATTTAGTTAGACAAAGGAATCTGATGAATTGTTGTTCTCTGAGTAAAATGTGATGTGGAAATCATGCTTTCCTTGCTCAGTCTTCTTTTTCTGGAATGTCTTAATGTCCTTTATCTAGTATCCTGTTGGTTTGAGCTTCCCTAGTATTTGCCACAAAGATGATAGACATCCTATACAGTGTGTGTGTGTGTGTGAGAGAGAGAGAGAGAGGGGGGGGGGCAAATGTATTTATTTCTAAAGTGGTTTTCCGTATGGTTTTTATGGTTTTCAGTGTGCGGAGTGCCTTGCATGCTGCTGTTCTTGTAAAAATGCTTTGTGAGTAACACTGAGAGAGGAGGATTTAGTCAAGGAAATTAAGTGAGGTTTAAATGGGGATTGGAAGCTTGATTTTATAATGTTCAAACCCTATACACTGCATTCTACTTTCACTGCATCACAAACCACTGTATAGTCACTTGGACAAGCTGGAAGGATTTCTGTAACAGCACTTTATGGTGTCCAACACCTGTTGATTGTCTGAGTATTTTATAGTATGCAAAGTGTGACAATATGATGAAATAGTACTGCTATTATCTTTCTAGGGTTTTGCACCCATAGGGTATAATGTTTGCTCTGAGCTCCTAAACTAGGGGACTCGTGACATTTGGACTCTATAGTATCCTGATTTATTTATTGGGAATGGATACCTTTTTCACTTTTAAGTAAAATGAAACTTCACAACATTAAAGCTAAATCACCCAAAAAATGTAGTGGCTGAAATAGTACAATAGGAAAGAGTGCCCCTCCTCCTGTTTTCGGTGGATAATATTTCAAAGGCTAGACTTGCTCTTTGATTATGTCTGCTGATTATTGTTTGGTTGGCCCCTTCCTTCCCCCCTCTCTTTTAATTGTTTCTTTTTGGTTTTCATTCTGTGTTAGGAGTGGCAAACGCGTTCTTGGGCTGGGGGACTCATCTGGACATGAAGCCAGTATTTATACCCCACACCAAAGACCTCACCAAAATTTGTGGCTGCAAAAATAACATACAATATAATAAATAATAATAATAATAATAATAATAATAATAATAATAATAAATAATAAATTTTATTTATATCCCGCCCTATAGAGCAGGGGTTTTCAGCCTGGTCCCTACCACCCACTAGTGGGCGTTTCAGGATTCTAGGTGGGTGGTAGGGGGTTCTAAGGCATCCTTCCATCGAGCACTGGTGGGCGGTAAGGAAATTTTACCATCAAGAAAGATGCATTAGTGGGCGGTAGGTATAAAAAGGTTGACTACCCCTGCTGTAGAGTATACATGATGCTCGGGCGGGTGGAGAGGTTTAAACCAGTTAGCCAGCCCAGTGTCTTGATGGGTATGTAAAGTGCCCCTCTTCATTCAATTGATTGATCATCTGATGAGTGGAGAAGAGGTGAGAACAACCCCCACCTCAGCTGGTTTGCATGGGTGGGGCTGTATACCTGTGTGTGAGAGAGCAAGAGTGTGGGGTAAACACACCCACCACTGGCAAGAAGCCCTCTACAGGATTGGCCCAAGAGTGAGTGCGGCTTTATGGCCACAAAAGGTTAGCTGCCCCTGTTAACCTTTTAACTGATTATATTTTAACCATTGGTAGCTGTTTTGGAAGTTTTTCCAACTGGAAAAAAGTAGGATCAAAGTGTGCTTGAAATGTAATAAAAAAACAACAAAAGGGACACAGAGGCAGGAGCAGCTATTGGTGAACCTGAGGTCTATGAAACGGGCACCTGCTTGCCAGTGGAGGCATTTATGCAGCTAGCCTTGCCATCAGTTGATCCGTGTTTTCAGGAGCTTCCCCCTTCCCATCCATCTGCCTCATTCTGCAGTTGGGCAATCAAACCAAGGTTGCAGAAAACATAAATATTCTGCATGAGTGGCTAATCTATCTGGGCTCAGGATTCATATCCAAGTCCTGTTTGTTTTGCTGTACTCATTTGGGTGCTTCAAACTGCAGAACTCTTTCCCCACAAGTCAACTCTCCCCTCCTGAGCTCTTTTCCTTCTTGAAAATGTTTGGAAAATGCCAGAACAGTAGGTGGAGTAGGAGGCGATTATTGTGTTGCTTTCCTGAGATTGTTACTCTTGGCCCAGGATATCAGCACCTTCTTTCTTTTTTTAATAGGAAGGAAAAAAACAAATAGTGTAACTTTACTGATAAAGTAGATGATTTTGGCTGGTTTGATGTAAAGACCGTCCTGCAAAGCAGTACAACAGAAAGTATTTTTGTTTGTGAATCATAGGTCACATAATGGATTTATGAACACATTTCTACCTTCTCTTGCACACACATATTGGACTTTGCATATCTACTGTTTTCCTTGCCGCTCTTGTTTGACAATGCCTGGCTATGTGAAGGTTTCAGAGTCATCTTGTCTGGCTTTGTATCTCTGTTTCTCCCTTCCACTTACATTATGGCTGTGTACACACCATACATTTGAAGCATGTTCAAAGTACACCCTCACCAGAAGAATCTTGGAGACTAGCTTGCCCCTCATGGAACTACAGTTCCCAGTACCCTTAACAAACTACAGTTCCCAGGGTTCTTTAAATGTGGGCTTTAAATGTGATTTGAAATGTATGGCGTCTATGTAGCCTGTATTTCTGCTAGTCGGTCAGTTGGAGGATTGGCTTTGAGGATGGAAAGGTGGAATCTGCAAATGTTTTATTTATTTAGAACGTTTCTTTTAAGGCAAGGCAGCTTACGTAAAATACAGTGCCATAACTAGGAACACTTCCTCGTGAAATCAAACAGGCACCTACAATTATAATGTTTCCTTACCTGCTGAAAAAGCTTTTGCTTTTCCCCAAGCGTTGCTCGTTTTGTTCTGTATGTAGTGATTTAACACCATTATGATGTTTTTATGATTTTACGGTATACCGCCATGATTCTTTCCTTTCCTTGGCAGTTTATAAATGTCCTTATAAAATAAATAAATGAAATAAAATAAATATTTTGTTTTAAAAGACGTTTGAAGACAAGAGCTGACCATTATGAATTAAGCAATGCAAAATAGTTTTAGATCTGCAGCACTAGAAAACCTTTAAGAGAAAGCAGCTGAGCTAAGTGGATTTGCCTACAAAGATGGGTTCGTATGCAACTCATTCTTTGTATGCAGTAGGTCTCTGACATCTCTACTTAAAAAGCTCAAGTAGCCAGTGATGCAAAAGACCTCTTTCTGTCTCAGATCCTGGAGAGCTGCTGCCAGATCATAGTGGTCTGGTATAAGGCATCTTCCTAACACAGAACAAGAGAGACAGTTTTTCTTTATTTCTTTCTCCACTGTACAGGTAATTAAATATTTATGTATTTCCTTCCTGTGTAGCTGAGGAGGTGGATCAGCCATCACAAGATGCTGGAATGGGGTCTGACGTTCTGGAATCTGGTGACACGACACCTCCTTCCAAGAGAAAAAGCAAGTTTTCAGGTTTTGGCAAGATCTTTAAACCTTGGAAGTGGAGAAAAAAGAAAAGCAGTGGCAAGTTTAAGGAGACTTCGGAAGGTAATACACTAAACTTTTGTATCCCCTTCTTCCCAGGCCTATGAGGGTTCTTTGCAATGGAATGGATTTGTCCTTCTTGGGTCCCACCTTTCTCAGCTGCTTTTGCGAAATTCCAGAATTGGCCCGTATCAAATCTTAAACTTAAATTTAAGAAGTAATCTACCCTCATGCAAGGGAACAGCTGTTTCTGCAACTGTCTCTCTCAAGCTGTACTTCATCACATCACATGGAGGCCCCTAAGTGTTTGGAGAAGGCTGGTGGTGATGGTGGTGGAATGGAGCTGTAAAAGATGTCATACACAGTGATGTGGGATGGAAAATGTTCCTTTTAACAAATTTAGGGAAATCCTCAAAACTGGTCAAACATTAGGGACTGAAGCCTTGAACAAGGCACAATCACAGACAGAGGTTCCCTTGAAAAGATGTTTGGGAAATACTTTTCTTAAAAGTAAAGGCTATGTGCTTTTAGCAATAAGATGCTGCTAGCCCCTTTTCTTGCAGAGATATGGTTTGGGGGAAATAGTTAGTGTTTTAGATAAGCACAAACAGTCTGGACTCTCTCGTAGTTTAACATTCAGCCCTAAAAAAAACAGTCACTTAGGCCACATATAGTGTCTTAAAGGATTTTTTTTTTCCAAAATCTCCGACTTGCCCTGTATTCTGAGTGCTGGTTTTTTTCTCCAATGTAATGTCAGTTTTAGAACGAAAGATTTCAATGCGAAAGCCAAGAGAGGAGCTCATTAAAAGAGGGGTTCTGTTGGAAGACCTTGAACAGGGTGAGTTTACCCGTCTTCCTTTGTCCACCCTACACTGCCCATTCTGACTCTCCAGTAAACCTCACCTCTGGGATTCCATGCCTGTGTGCAGGCCCCCCCCCGCCATTTCCGCCCCCACCCCACCCCCATCAGTTACATGTGATTCTTTCTCCTTGTTCTGCCTTTTAAACTTTTCCAACTATAGACATTGCTCATTCTTGGAGGTGAACAGCTGTTTTATTTTGTTCCCTTCCCCAAAGGGACCCCGTGTGACATTTTAGCCCCAACCACATTCCTATGAGGTAGTTTAGCTTGGGAGGCTGTGTCTTGCCAAAGTTTACGTAGTGAGCTCCGTATTAAAGGTTTTCTCTTGGATTTCATGTCTATATGGTAAAGAGAAAGAAGCATAGCCTAGTGGCTTTGCATAAAGAAGGTCCCAGGTTCAATGCCGAAAATCTGCAGGTAAGTCTGGGCAAAAGGAGTATGTATTGCTTATCAATGCTTAACAGAAGTGTGAGTGGGGTGGAGAGTTTGAAACTCTGGAATAGCGCCTGCCAGTCAGTGTAGGACGTACTAAGCTAGATGGATCACCAAGCAGGAATATCAGGCAGCTTCTTATATTCTAAAGCAGATGCTCAGACAAGTCCCTGCTTAAGTGTGGCTGCTTGGCTACAGCATGGCAATAATTGGTTGTCGTTTTACTAGAGGCAGGAAGGTCTGAAGCAAATTGGAGTACAAATAACTCAGACTTCCTCCCCTCTAGGCTAGGCTGAAGGATGGTCCCAGGAGGGGGGCTAAGCAAAGTCGTGTTCTGGGAGTCTTTTTCTCACGCTTGCAGATCTTTGTCTCTCATCTGTGAACAACTGGCTTCGCAAATGGTGCAAACAGGAACGGTTTGGATTCTTAGATCACGGAATGCAGTTTCTTGAAGATGGACTTCTGGCAAGCGATGGGCTGCACCTCACAACGGTTGGGAGGAATGTTTTTGCAAAAAATCTCAGAAACCTCATCAGGAGGGCTTTAAACTGACTAATGTGGGGGAGGGAGACAGTGCTCCTGAAGGTAGGAGTCTATCAATTGATGAAGATGATCATCCAAATGTCATAGACCGAATGGAGCAAAGAGCATGCAGACCTAGTGGTGGGAGGAGAAAATCCTTAAATAAGAGACACGGGGGAATGATTAATGGACTTCAATGTCTGTACACTAATGCGCAAAGCATGGGAAATAAACAAGATGAGCTTGAGCTCCTGGTACAGCAAACTAAATATGACATAATAGGAATCACTGAAACCTGGTGGGATAAATCCCACGATTGGAATGTAATAATGGAGGGATACAATCTATTTCAAAGAAACAGACCAGACAAGAAAGGAGGAGGAGTGGCGTTATATGTCAGGGATGTGTATACCTGTGAAGAGATCCAAGATTTAGAACCTCAAAGCCAAAGTGAGAGCATTTGGGTCAAAATTAAGGGAGAGAAGAATAACAGTGACCTCATTGTGGGAGTTTACTATAGATCCCCAAGCCAAACGGAGGACATAGATGATGCCTTCCTGGAACAGATGGCCAAGCATGCAAAAGGAAGGGAGATAGTAGTAATGGGGGACTTCAATTACCCGGATATTTGTTGGATGTCAAACTCAGCCAAGAGCATAAGGTCAAACAGATTCCTCACTGCCCTTGCAGACAACTTCATTGTCCAGAAAGTGGGAGAAGCAACAAGAGGAACAGCCATTTTAGATCTGGTCCTAACCAATGTTGATGACCTGGTTAGTGGGGTAGAAGTGGAAGGATCATTAGGCGCGAGTGATCATGCTCTTCTGAAGTTTACTATACAGCGGAAAGGAACAGCCAAGCATACTAGGACTCAATTTCTCGACTTTAAGAAAGCCGACTTCATAAAGCTTAGGGAAGTGCTGGGTGAGATCCCATGGACAGTAATACTAAAAGGAAAGGGAGTTCAAGATGGCTGGGAGTTTGTTAAGAGGGAGATAGTAAAAGCACAACTTCAGGCAATACCAATGAGACGGAAACATGGAAGGTGCCTAAAGAAGCCAGGGTGGCTATCTAAAGAACTTTTAACTGAGTTAAGATTAAAAAAGGATGTGTACAAAAAATGGAAAAGGGGGGAAACCACCAAAGAGGAATTCAAACAAATAGCCAGCACGTGTAGACACAAAGTCAGAAAAGCTAAAGCACAAAATGAACTCAGGCTTGCTAGAGAGGTTAAAAGCAACAAAAAAGGCTTTTATGGGTATGTTCGTAGCAAAAGGAAGAACAAAGAAACCGTGGGGTCACTCAGAGGAGAAGATGGTGAAATGCAAACAGGGGACACAGAAAGGGCTGAACTCCTCAATGCCTTCTTTGCCTCAGTCTTCTCCGATAAAGAAAACAATGCCCGACCTGAAGAATTTGGAGCAAATGATTCAGCAGAGGAAACACAGCCCAGAATAACTAAGGAGATAGTACAAGAATACTTGGCTAGTCTAGATGTATTCAAGTCTCCAGGGCCAGATGAACTGCATCCAAGAGTATTAAAAGAACTGGCAGATGTGATTTCAGAACCACTGGCAGTCATCTTTGAGAATTCCTGGAGAACAGGCGAAGTCCCGGCAGACTGGAGGAGGGCAAATGTTGTCCCTATTTTCAAAAAGGGGAAAAGAGAGGACCCAAATAATTACCGCCCAGTCAGTCTGACATCAATACCAGGGAAGATTCTGGAGCAGATCATTAAGCAAACAGTCTGTGAGCACCTAGAAAGGAATGCTGTGATCACCAATAGTCAGCATGGATTTCTGAAAAATAAGTCATGTCAGACTAACCTGATCTCGTTTTTTGACAGAATTACAAGCCTGGTAGATGAAGGGAACGCAGTGGATGTAGTCTACCTTGATTTCAGCAAGGCATTTGACAAGGTGCCCCATGATATTCTTGTAAAGAAGCTGGTAAAATGCGGTCTTGACTATGCTACCACTCAGTGGATTTGTAACTGGCTGACTGACCGAACCCAAAGGGTGCTCATCAATGGTTCCTCTTCATCCTGGAGAAGAGTGACTAGTGGGGTGCCACAGGGTTCTGTCTTGGGCCCGGTCTTATTCAACATCTTTATCAACGACTTGGATGATGGACTCAAGGGCATCCTGATCAAATTTGCAGATGACACCAAACTGGGAGGGGTGGCTAACACCCCAGAGGACAGGATCACACTTCAAAACGACCTTGACAGATTAGAGAACTGGGCCAAAACAAACAAGATGAATTTTAACAGGGAGAAATGTAAAGTATTGCACTTGGGCAAAAAAAATGAGAGGCACAAATACAAGATGGGTGACACCTGGCTTGAGAGCAGTACATGTGAAAAGGATCTAGGAGTCTTGGTTGACCACAAACTTGACATGAGCCAACAGTGTGACGCGGCAGCTAAAAAAGCCAATGCAATTCTGGGCCTCATCAATAGGAGTATAGCATCTAGATCAAGGGAAGTAATAGTGCCACTGTATTCTGCTCTGGTCAGACCTCACCTGGAGTACTGTGTCCAGTTCTGGGCACCACAGTTCAAGAAGGACACTGACAAACTGGAACGTGTCCAGAGGAGGGCAACCAAAATGGTCAAAGGCCTGGAAATGATGCCTTATGAGGAACGGCTAAGGGAGCTGGGCATGTTTAGCCTGGAGAAGAGGAGGTTAAGGGGTGATATGATAGCCATGTTCAAATATATAAAAGGATGTCACATAGAGGAGGGAGAAAGGCTGTTTTCTGCTGCTCCAGAGAAGCGGACACGGAGCAATGGATCCAAACTACAAGAAAGAAGATTCCACCTAAACATTAGGAAGAACTTCCTGACAGTAAGAGCTGTTCGACAGTGGAATTTGCTGCCAAGGAGTGTGGTGGAGTCTCCTTCTTTGGAGGTCTTTAAGCAGAGGCTTGACAACCATATGTCAGGAGTGCTCTGATGGTGTTTCCTGCTTGGCAGGGGCTTGGACTCGATGGCCCTTGTGGTCTCTTCCAACTCTATGATTCTATGATTCTATGATCTGCCATGATTTTTACACTAAAAAAAAATTGTGCAGACCATGAACACAGCTTCCCTAACACCACTGCACCTCACCCTTGCAGTCTTCTGCAGGAAAAAGTTCAGGCTGGCTAAGCTCAGTGTGTTGTTTTCTTCCAGCTAGGAAGTGTACTCCTCTGCCTTGTGCTAGTGGGGAAAGACACCCTGTTCTGAGCTATGGGGAATTTTGCAAGGAGCAAGCTGGACGCATTTTTTGCATGCAGTCAAACCATTAAACTGAACCGTACTCTGTAGAGGCCTTAGCATAATAGTTAATCCAGCCCTGCCCACAGGAAAAGATAGCAAAGGAAATACCCTTTCCTCTTAGGTTCTCAATAGAATGAGAGCTTAGTCCCCCTTCCCTTCCTAGCCCTCCCCTCTGACTCTAAAAGAGATGGGTGGAGGGGAAGAAAGATAACATCAGCCTTGCCGTTGGAACAGAGTCTGCTGATTCTGGTTGTTTTGCTCTCAGCCCTGCCGTAGAGACACTTGAGTGCCTAGGCAACAGCTGGCTAATTGTAAGTGGGAGCCACAGAAGACCAGTTTCCTTTATACTTCATATAAAGTATATAATCTCTTATCCTCCTGCACCACAGAGTGTCCTCTGGTAATCCAGTTTGAGGAGGATGATAGCTGTAGAAGAGGAACAACCATTTTAGTGGAATTTCTAAATTTTTAGAATGAGTCTTCTTATATCTTGATGGGTGGTTGAAAATAACTTTGAACCTCTACAATTTAGAGTTAAGAACAGTATAGCTGCTTCGCAGATTTGTTTCAATCTCCTTGTTTTAGGGACTAATTTTTCTGCTGAAGGAATAAACTCTCTCTGTGTGTGTATTTTTTAGAAAGAAAGAGAGACAACAACATGCTTTTGAAGCCCTCCCAGCTGGCAAAAATAAAACCTAGGCAGCTTTTTCCAACTTGGTGTCCTCCAGATGTTGTTGGCCTACAACTTCCATTTAGTTATTTAAGTATTTAGAATCATAGAATTGTATAGTTGGAGGGGACTCTGAGGGTCATCTAGTCCAATCCCTGCAATGCAGGAATCTCAGCTAAAGCATCCATGACAGATGGCCATCCAACCTTTGCTTAAAAACCAGCAAAGAAGGAGAGTCCATCACCTTTATATATAGCCCTCTCACAAAACATCAGGGTGGCATACAGTAACATTTAAAAAGTTTAAAAAGCAATGCAGAACAGTTTTTTAAATGACTTACTACACGTCCCTGACCAGTGGGCATCCTGATTGGGGCTAATGCAAGTCAGAGTCTGCCAACAACTAGAGGGCACCAGGTTGCAGAAGGCTGGACTGTAATGAGTGAGCTTGAAGGAGCTTGTGCTTCCTGTCTGTCCCTTGGAGAACTTTAATTCCAGATGTGGGTTCTGTGGACATTCACACAAGTTCAGAGGTGGGAGGGTGTTTGTGCTCCTTCCTGCCTTCAGCTTATCTTCCAGATCCTTTTCCTAGTTACTACTACGCTCCTTTAACCCATTCATATAGGTTTTAGTCTTCAAAGAACATATTTCATTGCATCTACCATCCCTCACAAAAACGACTCGTTTCTTCACTCTCTCTCATCAGCTTTCAGTTTTAGAAGCCATCATATGTCAGAAGCTTTTTGCTTTGCCTTTGTAAGGCATTGCATCAAAAGCCATTGCCTTTATATGTTGCCAGGATAATTGTCTGAACTTCTGCCTTAATTTCCTCCTTGAACTGAAGCATGCTGAGAAATTGGAAGCAGAAAAAAGTACCAGGGTGGGGGGTAGCGTGGCGGAAAAGCCCAAATCAACCCCCACAGAAAACCAAAAACTCGGAACAGTATATGACAAAAATTGTTGCTAATTAATGGTATGTATACCTGTTGATTGAGCAACTGATGTTTGCGAGGTTCAAGGGTACATTGGTGTAATGTGATAAGTACATTGAGAGATAAAGCTGAACTACGGCAGGCAATTTTAAAACATTTAAAATCTTCCAGGCACAAGCGATGTTAAATGGGGGTTTGTTTCTTGAACTTATCGTAGATTATTTTTTTTAAAGCAAACCACAACAACTCACTCTCAGTTGCCCAAAGTAAACCAAACTTGGAACAAATTGAGTCAAAAGGTAAATCGGAAGTAGAGTAAGAAGAGGAGCCCCTTGAGAACTGGGGGCTTGTTTCTGCCTTTGCTCGGTCGCTGACATAATTAGACAGTAGTAGATCCAAGGAAGAGAGGCAAATAGAACAGTGCTCCAAAAAGTAATATATTGCTTGTCATTAGAGGGAATGACTGACGCTTTATTATTCCTCTCCCTCTTTACTGCTTCTTTTAAATGTATTTTTCTGGCTTGGGGTATGTGCAAAATTCCTGCGTGAGTTTCGGCTATTATTATTTTTTAAGTGCAGGAAGGAGATCTTACCAGGTGCAAAAGTTGTCGCTAGGGGGGAAAAACAACCTCCTTATATTGGCAGAGAATGAATGTGGTGACTTTCACATATATTATGGCCAGGGAGGGAAGGCTTAAACCTTCCTTCCCCATGCGGTGCAATCTTGATGTCAATTGGGCTCCTTTTTAAAAATACACAATGTCAACGTGTAGTTAAGCTGTTGGGGCTGCATGTGATTTTCTCGGAAAAGGTAGCACTGATACGAGTGGCGGGCCTTCTGCTGCTCTAGCAAAGGCCCAATGTTGCCACCCTCTGGATCTGACCTTGCCCTGGGCTGCTACACCAAATGCTGACAGTGCAGAAAGAATTAAGCACAATACATGAGAAGATGTGGAGTGTTATTTATTCAAGCCTCTCTCTATATCACTTCCTAGCACAACCCTCAGGGTGCTTTCGTTAAGAATACCGTGTTAAAAGGACCTGCAACACAGGGCCCTGGCAGATGTGTACGCAGCAATGCAGGAACAGGTCTCTTGGGGTGCAGTTCTATGTCATTGGATGTAAAAAAATGTGATTTTATGAGTTGGCAAAACAATTGAGCAAACTTGTTCCCTCCAAACTAGAATAAGATTAAGTATTTTTCTAGTCAGTGTTATGTGACTGTGCATTCAAGGTCTTGCACTTCTTTCCCTGCCTGTGCCCCCCCCCCATTTATTTTTAAGACATGTTTTTTTAAGAGTGGCTACAAAAAATAAGCATTGTTGCTTGTACATTTGAAGTTCAAGAGCTGCAAAGTATACATTTCTTGAGCAGTTTCTTTTAGCATTTCCCTTTGCTCCCCCATCTCCTCTCACAGTGCAAAATAAATATTGAACTTGGATGCAAAGGTATTCTATGCATATATATTTTTGCCAAGTCTATGTACGTAATAAATAGAAAATATTTTTCTAGAAACAGAGCAGGTTACACACCGCTTTAATTTGGATTGAAATATTGCCCATAACTTAGAAGTTTCCATGTTTTATCAAACCAACCAGTAAGAGGTGGCAGGTGCTTGCCTTTTGATCTATCCAGCACTTGCTGTTTAGACCCCATTAATAATGAAAAGATTAGATCCCTGGCAAGACTCTTGTGGATTTGTGCACAAACGTTTGAACCTTGACACAAATAGATCAATTAAAAATAAATAATGCTTTATGTCTGTATCTTGGACCACTTTGATATTATAACCAATAGGATGCATCCTGCTAGCTTTGGGTTGTATTTAACTATGTTCTAATCGGAGTAGGCCTATTTAAATTAATTTCGATGGGTCTACTCTGAGTATAGCTAACATTGGATGCTACCTTTTGTGTTAAATTCTTTTTGAATCATAGATCTTTATTGTAGCTATCCAGGGGACTCTTAGCTCCTTTCCAAAAATAATAACACTAACAGGGAAAGCTTTGGACTCCAGTTGTTGAACCCAGACAGTGGGGAAAAGCTTCCCACCTTTGTCAAGGCTAGAGGCACATTATGAATTCTTTGGGGTTGCTGGCTGCTGTCTCTGAGTTTCTCTGGTGTTTAATTAGAATAGATGAAAGCTCCTAGGCTGTATAGCTCCATCAGTTGCAGTGTGACTACATTCTTCTGTAAGCTTCCCATGTCAGGTCTAAATAAATAGGGCCCTCAGCCTTTTGACTGTGTTGAAGAAAAATGTGCTAGAAAACGAGAAGGGCTGCCCCAGCTGCTATACTTGGGATTCCCCCACCTGTGTCATGGCAAATGGACCAGGTGTTATTTTACCTTAACAACGCCACTCATCAATCCTTTTTACTTGAAGACATTATCACAGAATCATAGAATTGTAGAGTTGGAAGGGAGCTCAAGGGTAATCCAGTCCAACCCCTTGCAATGCAGGAGTCTCAGCTAAGGCATATTCAAAGGTGCCGTCTTTCTTTAAATCCCAGCCCCCAATATTTATTCCTCAGCCACCACCTGCAGACTCAGTGTTTTTCTGGCAGGCTTGTTGCTACATGGTATGTGCACCTTTTCCTTCCTGGCCAATTTCCTGCCTCAATCTTCAGGCCTGTGCTTTCCATAACTCTTATTTATTTATTTAATCTGTCTCCCCCCACAACCAAAACAGATGAGGAGGAGCCGGACAAACTCAGCCACGATGCCTTGAAAAATGGACACACTATCCCCATTGACGGTTCTGGGATTGTCAACCTTGCACACTTGGAGGAAGAGACTGGAAAAAGAACAAGCCTTAAGAAGCCTGTTCCATTAGAGGAGCTGAAGAAATCACAAGGTGAGAAACTGGGATGCAGGAGTGGTGGCTCTCTGAGAAGTGTTTTTCATTAACTATCAGGCTTTCACTGTGAAAACACCAGTTTTGGGTCTCTCCTGTGGAGCACACCCACCCACGAAGATTTCCTCATTCTCACACAAGTTTCTAACCCAAGCGACTCACACCTTCACTTCCAGAGGGTTAGCCCCACCCAATTTATCTCTCTTATTATCAGACGTTCTGTCTCCTCCTGCCCACGCTTTGCTGGTGAGTGCCAGCCTTCACCTTGAACTCTAGTTTGGAAATTGGAAGAAACCTTTTAAGTTTCCTCCAACAAACAGCACATAAATAACTGCAAAGACTTTCCAATGCAGCTTCCCCACCCCTTTCCAGGGACAATTGTTTAATGCTTAATCAGAACTGTTGGGTGGAAACTGAGAACAGTGCATAGGATCCTTTTCCTGACTAGTAGGAAGAGGCCCTCTTTGCAAAAACTCAGCACTTTTAGAATGCTCTTCAAGTCTGTGGTGCCATAAAGGCAGGGCTGCGGCAGGAGGTAGAAGTCCAGTGCTTCACTTAGCAGAATGAGCAGGAGGGTCCCCAAATGCAGCAGGTCTGGCTAACTACATTCTGAAGAAATGAGCATTGCCATTTAAAGAGGGCTCCCTCAATAAAACAACTAAATCCAGAGTTTAAAACCACCTAATTCTATTGCTGTTTCATTGGGGAAGGGTCATAGGTCAGTGGTGGAACATCTGCCTTGCAAGCAGAAGATCCCCAGTTCAATCCCTGGCCTCTCCAGGTAGAGGTGGGAGAAACCCCCTGTCTGAAACCCTGGAGAGCCACTTCCAGCCAGTGTAGACAATACTGAACTGGATGAACCAAAGATCTGAATCCGCTTAAGGTTGCTTCCTGTTTTCTGATAAGTGGAGGCGCTTATTAGTTTAAGCCCTTTCCATCTCATATGATGGCAGCTTACAAGCAAGTTTAATTTTGAACACGAAACCTAAAAACATTCCAAAAAATGTGCCATGTACAAACAGGCCACAAAACAGTTGGTGATGGCAGGGTGTGTGTTCATATATGCATGAAAGGAGTGCCTGAAGGGACTACTGGGGTGCTATGAAGTGATCCTATCACTGGAGCAAAGCATAGTTAGGGTTAGCATATTAATAATCCTACTCACTGGTTTTCATAAATGCTTAAATTTCAGGATATCCCTGCTAAAGTTCTAAATCAGGGATGGAGACGCTTCAGGCCCTCCAGATATTGATGGATTCCCTCTCCCATCATCCCCAGGCAACATAGCCAATGGTCAGGGATCATGGAGTCCAACAATGTATGGAGAGGCACAGTTTCTTCGCTGTAAATACAGGAACTGGGAAACACTTGCTGGTTTTGATCTGTATCACACACAGAGGCATGCAAGGTCTTAAACACTCTGCTGATGATTACTGGTGGCATGGCTGGCAGAAACCAGTATGCACTGTGGTATCTATGTAGTCTATGGTGGCTTTTTAGGGTCTCTGTGCTGGAGGTGTCATGGGTAGGAACCTTCAGCTGCTGTGCCCAATCAGGAGTGCAAAACATATTGTCTGGATATGCTCTTGGCTTGTAGCCACTCAAAGAGAGTGGTGTGAGGCACCTTAAAGCCAGCTGGTTTACAGTGGCCAATGCTTTTGTGGGCACTACTCTTTCCCCTCAGCCTGGTGGCTGCTAGATGCTTTGGTTGTGCTTGCTGGGGCTGGTGAGAGTTGGAATCCAAAATATCCGGAGGATACCAGGTAAGAAAGCTACATTAGAGGCAGAAGGTCCATGTTATATAGGAAGTAAGTTGTGGTCCAAACCTTCATACTCGGCAGAAAGATGAATTAGTCTCTAAGATGCCACAACCCTCTCCTTCATGTATGTAAGGAAGCTCATGGGTTTATGTCAAGTGGGCAGATAACAGTACTTTTAAAAGGTTTGGCTCCCTTTAATGATGCTCCCTATAATGATCAAACAGTGAGCTACCCTGAGATGAGAAGTTCTTTTCTAGGTATTGTAATAATGTCACTGAAAACAAAAGCAAAATATGTTTTATTGCAGGAACCTTGGACGGCCATCCCAATTCAGAAGTGGAGCACCACCACCATCATGATTCTCATGCTCCTAAACAGCCTCTGCTTCCCCCGAAACGACCTTTGTCATCCTCCTCTCAGGAAACGAGCAATGTGCAGGCGAGGGATCTTGGCCCTCCCAGCAGCACCGCAAGGACTATGCCTCCCTCCACAGTTGTGGCTGCCACCAGCACAGCAAAAGGGGTCAATTTTTCCACTGCTCCCTCCCCAGCCCCTAGGACTGTGCCCTCTGCTTTCACAAATGCTCGCACTACTGCTGCTACGAATGCTACCACGGCAGCACCAGCCAAGCAACCCCCTGTTCCACCTCCCAAGCCAATGAATAGGAATAGCAACCCCTTAATAGGTAAGTGGCTCTTCTTTGTGTATGCACTGTGCATTGTTCCATCTCCAGGCCCTTCCTTGATTCTTACTGCAGTTGTAATTGATATGAGCTCAGTGTGGATGGGGTAAAGTCTGAAGACAAAGCAACAAATATATATGTATATATATATAATTACTCAGTTTTCCACATTTTTCTTTTGCTTTTTAATGTCTGTACTTGTCCTTAGATTAGCACATTTGTTGTGGTACAAGTCTACAAGGGCTACTTCATCAAATGCATGAAGTGTTATGCTGAGACACAGGAAATAATTGTTTCACTCTTGTCTATTTGTTACCAATTGGGAGTAGATCATGGCACACATGCTCTGGATCTTTTATTTTTCTGAATGGATCTGGTTTGCATTCACACTCTACACAGCCCCTTATTCCTTTCTCTTGCTTTGCTAGGCCTCCTGATGCCACTTTCCTTTCTCCTTATAACTCTGTTGTAAGTATCTTAGGAAACTTTTCCAAAGACACAGCACTAAAACTTGGAGCATATAAGACCATCATAAAGAAGTTTGTGTGTGAGAGAGAAAGAGACAGGCAGTCCTAAACTCTCAAGCCTCTGTTCTTCAATAGGTTACCCTCCAGGGTAACATCAGGAATAAGATAGGTCTTTAATTGGCTGTGAAGTTTGCTGTTCTTTTGGCATGGCCACCATGAGCAGGACTGTTCTGTGACTTAGACTCTTAACTGTCCTACCTTTTCTGCAATGCTCCTGGTAACTCTTTCCCATTCCAAACAGCAAGGATCCATTGCATAAGCCTGTGGAAATGTGCCGTGTACACAGCACAGCTCATCACAGGCCAAGCATGAACATGTAGTAAGACAGTACTGCATGCATGTAGGTGTGTGTACTTGTGTAGTGTTCATCCCGCAAGTCTACAGCTGTTCATGGGATTTCTAGCTGTTCCTCCCCTCTAGATGCTGGTCAGGTTTTAGAACTCTTAGTTTTCTGAAGCAAAGTTTTTTGTGTGGTCGCTTCATATATTGTAAAGGATAGGTGGAGAATATGCGGCCCAAGCCAGTGCTGTATTTCCCAATGTGTCTCTTAACACAGTTCAAAGGTATATCAACAAAGCCACTCACCTGAGCTGTTTAGAAATGGAATGCCATGAAGGAAGAAAGGCAAGGGAATGTAACCAACAAGAGCAGGTTGCCATAAGCTTTTCGGAAAGAATGTCTGTAGCACTCACAGCCTGGCAGTATATAGGGAAGGGCTATGCAACACCTGCAGTTTGAGGGTGTGGGGAGAAGGAGGGGTGAAACGTAAACAGATCTTCCAAGACTGCACCTGTTCCTGCTCACCTGTTGAGAATTCGCAGTGGGAGTGTGTGGTAGATTTCGCAATCCTACTCTGAACGCACATGTACTCACATTGTAAGGTGTAGTGTTCCTTTTGTTTCTGACAAACAAGGTAACGATAGCAGGAAATTCTATACTGTATCGCTTGCGGAGCCCTACCTTACAATCTCATATGAAGGGAAGAGCATAAATATAAAGCGATGAGAAGGGACTTGGCCAGATAGCACCTGGGATTGGTGTGTGTGTGTTGGGGGATGCATGGAAGTAGAACTTGACAGAAATGGATTGGTCTGTAGGTATAGTTTTGATCAGGCTTCCTGAAGCATGTGACTCTCCAGATGTTGTTAGACTCCAGCTTCTAACACCCCAGCCCATTGGTCATGCTGACCAGGACCGGAAAGAGTGGGAGTCTAGCGACATCTAGAAGGCACGAAGTTTGGGACGACTGACTCAGATAATACAAAGAGGACTCGCCTCATCCCATGGAAATAAATATGGCACACTTGTGGATGAAACTCTAGGGAACAAAAACACTCTTTACTAAAAGCAGAAACCAGAGCCATCAGACAACACAGTAAGCAAGGAGGTGACCCAGCTTCCTATGTTAATATGAAGTATGTAGGCATCCATGTTAAAATATTGATGTGGTGAATCAGGTGTGTATGAAATCTTCTGGTTAAGTCAATACATATGTAAAGGGGGGGGGTACGGGAGTAGTAGGGTGTAGTCTGTCCTTCCCCTAGAACCTGTTTGGGCTGCCACAGGGAGGAACATGTCACAATTTGAGCTTTTGCTATAGAGCTTGATGTGATCAAGAAAGCCCCAGGAGAGGCAGAAAACAAAGGGCTAAGATAATATTTATGAATGAGTGATGAACAGGGATTAAATCCTGCAGCTTTGACTGCATTATCTTGTTCCCTGCTCTCACATCCAGTGTCGAATTATATCCCGTCATCCTGCCCATCAGCTGATGTAACAAGGCACTTCAGTTGATAGGCGGGTGGATGTGGTTTGGGACAAACAGCATTGTGGACCAATATTGGACCTGTGGTGGGCCAAAATTGGCCTGTGGACTGGAAATTACCTTGCTGTAGAATAATAGGTAAAAATCCAGTATTCAGTGTATGAGTGTGATCTAAAGCTGTCATTTTTCTATACAAGGTTGTTGCTTTCTCTTAATTTTTTGAGATGGGGGTAAGTTGAGGAACTGAGGCTGAGAGAGTGACATCCCAAAATTATAACACGGGTTTGATCACAGATCTAAATCTAATGGCTATTATTATTTAATACATGCCTTTACACCCCACTTTTTAAGAGTAAAACTGTCACATTGCAGCTTAGCTGTTTTGGCTGGGGCTGTAGTCCAAAACAGCTGGAGAGCACCAAGTTGGGGAAGGCCATGATTTCCTTTACAAACCACAAGTTTATCAGGAGTTTCCCCACAGATGATCAAAGAAACCATAGCCTGTATCTCCAAAGTTTCTTTTGTTTTCCAGCTTCATCTGCTCCTTGTGGCTTTATAGTTGAGTGAGCATCTGGGTCAGATGTGGGAAACCTTTGGCCCTCTGGATGTTTCTGAACTACATCTCCCATCAGCTCTAGCAGGCATGGCCAGTGACTAGGCATGATGGGGGTTATAGTTCAGCAGCATCCAGAGGTACCCCACATGCGGCCAAACAAACCATGGTTACTGAAGGGTGGTGCTTTTGCATCTAGTGCCAAGCCATCATTAAAGTAGACTTAAGGTTTGCAAGTCAACAATGAAAACATGACTTTAGATTGTGGTTTGTTTGCATTAAACGTAATTAAGCCACTGGGCAGCGTTCAATTGATCAAACAAACCATAGTTTAAGAAACCCACATTGAATAAATCATAGCTTGGTTAACTAAGCTAGCGAAACATTAACAGCCAAACCCTGTAAATTAACAGTGTGTAAACAGCAGCACCTAAATATATGAGGCAAGAAAAGAGGAAAAAGCCATCAATAAAAGGATGAGTAGGAAAAACAAAACTTTACAGTTCCATTCGTTATCCGTTCGACCTTGCTGGCTCTCTGCCCCATTTGTCTGCCAATGACCTGTAAAAAGGTAAAGGTAAAGGACCCCTGTCCAGTCGCAAACGACTCTGGGGTTGCGGCGCTCTCGCTTTACTGGCCGAGGGAGCCGACGTTTGTTCTCCGACAGGTTTTCCGGGTCATATGGCCAGCATAACTAAGCTGCTTCTAGCAAAACCAGAGCAGCACAGAGAAATCCCGTTTACCTTCCCACCGGAGTGGTACCTATTTATCTACTTGCACTTTGACGTGCTTTCGAACTGCTAGGTTGGCAGGAGCTGGGACCAAACAACGGGAGCTACCGACCTTCTGATTGGCAAGCCCTAAGCTCAGTGGTTTAGACCACAGCGCCACCCAATGACCTGTAGGTACCTGGCAGATTGTTTTCCATTGGGGTAAGGACTGAAGGCATGGAAAGGTCCTGCCTCTCTCCGGAATTTGCCTGGTCTGGGTCCCCTTTGTGTGATCTGGGGTGCTTGCTGTAACCATACCTAACAAGCGTTCCTCTCTTCTCTTCTAGCTGAATTGACTCAAGCGATCAGTAGTGGCACAGCTTTGTCTAAGCCTTCTCCGCCTTTGCCTCCCAAGAGAGGCATCCCATTAAACTTGCCTTCATCCCTTGAATCGGCTGCTGCTCCCAAGTCGCCTAATGAAAGGTCGTCCTACCCTTCCTCGATACCGGCGCACATGCTGCCACCTCACCCGCCGCCTTCTCCTTCGCCACCTCTGCCTTCGCACATTCCTCCAGAACCCGCCCATGTCCCTTCGCCTTCCTCCACCCCTGGGGCAGAGCCTCCCCTTCCCTCTGAACTGCGGACGGAAACCCCGCAGGAAGGGCTCTCCGTGCTAGATGCAGGCAAGAGGATAGCCGAGCAGGGCTTTGGAGAGCCTCGGATGCCTTCGCGGCTGCCCCCACTCCCGCTCCACATCCGCATCCAGCAAGCGCTGACAAGCCCCCTGCCATCAACGCCGCCAGCAGAAGGCTCACACAGGGCACACTCGCTGCTCTTTGAGAACGAAGGCTCCTATGATGACAACGGGACCCTGGGCAGAACGAAGTCACTGCCGGTTACTATTGAGATGCTGAAAGTGTGAGTCCCACTTGAAATTGCTGGTGTGGAGCTCTGTGCAGTCCGTTTGTCCTTTTATTTCCCACTCCAAGTCTCAGCTGCTGCATGCCCAACACTTTATTGAGATAAGCTATTTCTGAACTCTTATTTACTTATTTTTATTTATTAGATTTATATACCGCCCTTCATCGAAAAATCTTAGGGCAGTTCCCAAGATAAAATTGCAAGTTAAAAGCACAAATAAACAGTTAAAACAGAAACAATAAAACAATAACCCCACTCCCCTCCCCCAAGCACGTTTAAAAGGCTGTAGAATATTAATCAGCTGAAGGCCTGGTTGAAAAGGAAGGTTTTTGCCTGGTGCCAAAAGGTGTGTAATGAAGGTGCCAGCAAAACTTCCATGGGGAGGACATACCACAAATGGGGAGGCACACAAAGAACTTTGTGATGTATGAGCACCAAAATCCTTAATGCTCAACTTGGTATTATTATTATTTTATTACAGTTGTACCTTGGTTCTCGAACTTAATCTGTTCTGGGAGTCCTTTCAACTCCCGAAACCATTTGAAAACCAAGGCGCAGCTTCCAATTGGCTGCAGGAGCTTCCTGCACTCAAGCGAAAGCTGTGTCGGAAGTTCGGCTTCCGAAAAACATTCGCAAACACTTGCTTCCAGGTTTGCGGTGTTTGGGAGCCAAAATGTACGAGTACCAAGGCATTCGGGAACCAAGGTACGATTGTATTAACTTGCCTAGGTATAGTCTTTCTTGGGCTGTTGAGTCCTAAGCAGCTTCTGGATGTTTGTTTTACGTGGCATGAAGGATAACTTCTGCCTCTTCAACCAGGCCTTGGGCAGATTGACATCCAATGCCCTTTTAAAAGTGTTGTGGGAGGGGGATTATTGGTTGCTGTTCTCATTTTTATTATGCATTTTGTGGTTTTTATATTGTAATTTTATGTTGTGAACCGCCCTGGGATCTATGGATGAAGAGCGCTATACAAACTTAATTAATTAATTAATTAATTAATTACAGTGGTACCTCGGTTTAAGTACTTAATTCGTTCCAGAGGTCCGTTCTTAACCTGAAACTGTTCTTAACCCGAAGCACTGCTTTAGCTAATGGGGCCTCCTGCGGCTGCTGCGCCGCCGGAGCATGATTTCTGTTCTCATCCTGAAGCAAAGTTCTTAACCCGAGATACTATTTCTGGGTTAGCGGAGTCTGTAACCTGAAGCGAATGTAACCTGAAGCGTATGTAACCCGAGGTACCACTGTATAATTATAACAGCTTATTAAGGTGTTCACAAGTGGGGCATGATTTTAATATCCAACACTCTGAGCCCTGAAAATAGAGCTTGGCAGGCAGTATGAAATCTGTAAAGCATGTTCTGTGTAATACACATTGACTAGTCATTGCATGGGGAAACGGTTGCCAGAGTTGTGGGCAGCTTGCTGTCCCCCCTCCCTCCATCAGCCCTGACCCTTGGTCATGCTGGTGCCAATGACAATTGCAGTCCCAAACATCTGGAGGGCACCAGTTTGGGAGAAGCCACTGGCGGTTAATTGCTCTTCAGGTATCGAGGTCAGAAAGGAGTCCTGAAGTGTAACCATAAGTTTCTACTGAATCAAGGCCAAGGGAAGAAAAAAACCATGATGCATGGAATTGCATGCTTGTAGAAGGCTGACCTGGAGTGTTTTGTTTTAAAAATCTCAATTGTGTGCCTTTCTGTTAGTCCAGACGATGATGAAGAGGAGGAAGGTGTCCAAGAGGATGTGCATCATTCCAACTCCCATGTTTACATTGGAGAGTCTCCCACTGTTACGGTCATTCCCAGGCTCAGCCTCCAGACAGTACAGGATGAAGAGGAGGGTCCAAGCGACTCAGACTCCGAGGGACCTATTCTGTACAGGGAGGAGGAGGAGGAGGATGAAGAAGATGACAGCCATAACAGTAAGGCTCTCACTTTTGGACAGAACTAACTCCAGAGAGGGCTGCTAAAATGCAGGGGAGAATTTAACCCTTTCCCTTCTTTGGGACAGGTGCTGTTTGCCTTGGGGGCAGGGAACCCCTCTTTGATGTCGTTGTGTGTTTTTCCCCTTCTCCAGTGCCAACACTAACATCAAAGGGGATGTTAACCTCACATCCACAGCAGGAGAGGAAAAGGTTAAAGGCCCTGCCTTCAGTGCTGTGGGCCCAACTCTGTGGAACTCCTTCCCACTAGAAGTCAGACAGGCCACTGCCCTTGCTGAGTTTCAGACACCTGAAAATGCTGCTCTGCTATTTTAAAAAAATCTGGTGTTATTAAATATCCAGGTGGTTTAAGTGTTTTTGAGGTTTAATTCATGTTTTAAGTCCTGTATATATTTCTTTGGAAGCCTCTTCAAGAGCTAGAATAAACAGTGCACCTCTCCTTCCCCACACTTGCTGTGACCCCATTAATGATCAGGGCCCCTCCCTGCAGCTGTGTGTGCTTGTGTTTGTGTGTGTGTGTGTGTGTGTTTAAGCAACATACATAAATGTTATGTCACATTTACTTTGGCCCTGAGGTGCAAGATCCAAAAGGCCTATATCTGTACATGCTTTGCATTAGAAGACAGGTGCTCCTTTGCTACAGTGGCACATTCCTCCCGCTTTGTGACTTATCCATGCTGTGACTGTCAGCAAAATGGTAATGCGAGGGTACAGCTGGCTGGGGGGTCAGCCACTCTGCTTGTTTTGTGACAAGATCTCCTTTTCTTTCTCTCTTTCCAAAGCTGCACTAGCCAACAAAGTCAAGAGGAAAGATACCCTAGCCATGAAACTGGGCCACATGGCTCCCAGGCAGGAGCTACCAGAAGAGAACACCACGTTTCCTCGGAAGAGCAAGGAAGAGTGGCAGGAAATCCGCCAGCAGATTGGAACGACACTGATCAGGTAGGAAGGCAGCAGGAAGTGTGCAATAGGGCCCAGTTAGGGATTGTGTGGGAAATGTCCCAGGTAGGGGCCGTTTTCCTCTCTGGATTTGCACTAAACAGAGCCATGCACCCAGCTGCAGTCCTAGGCAGATCTTGCACATCTGGCCTGCCAGCACTGGAAGCAGGAAGACACTTTCTCTGCTTCCTGAAATCAGAGCCATTCAGACATGTTGCTGTTTAAGTATTCATTTATTTCTTGCGTTTTATATCCTGCTTTTCCGTCGAATGGTACACAAAAGTCACTAACCTCAGTAATGCAAATACAAGGCAATGAAATACAAAACACAGTAAAACAGGAATAAAATATAACCATCTCTGCTGTTCTAGAGCTGTACAGGAAAAGAGCAGTGTGTGTGAGCCTGACACTTTACTCGGGCTCATTGCGGCTCCTCCACATAGTGCTAAACCATGGTTACGTGCAAACTACCTTAGTGCAAAGAAAGATGGGGAAAGCCACAGGTTTTCTTGTAGTCGGTGTCAGAGTCTTCTTTTGTGCTTTTGTCCTAAAAGGATGCAATTGTGATTTGCCTTTCTGCCCCTGCTTCCTCTTAAATTAGGCGATTAAGTCAGAGACCAACAGCAGAAGAATTGGAGCAAAGGAATATACTTCAACGTAAGTAGAAGCTTCTCCATGTGCTTGTTTTCTAAGGAGTATTCAGATCATTTCTATAGCACTCTGGCTCCAAGGCATTGTCCCTTGGCTGCTGTCCCAAACACTGTGCTGCTGCAGCGTTGCTTGCTATTCCTGCCGTGCAGCATTCTTGCTACCGTACCTGTGATTTGCATGGAAAGTTTCATTTGAATTTCCAGCAGACCATATGCTGCAGTAGGTGATCTGGATTGCAATTAATGAATAGCGCACAGGGCAAGCTCTTCCCGCTTGGCAACTGCAGGTGGTAGAACCGCCTTTTGTTGTAGGAAGAGGAGGAAGAGTGCTGTTTTAATAACGCCATGCTGTTTTAATATGGTGGCCTGCTTTTAAAAAAAATTTATAACTGGTGGGTGGGTGGTTTTTTTTAGCTGTATCTGTTTTTAAATTCATGTTCTGAGCTGAGAAATCCACAGCCATGGCTCTAGCCCCATAGAAAAAGCCCTACCTGCTAAGGCCTTCCAACCTGAGCTAAGAGGGATGCCACACACGAGTGAGTCTTCCCCAGATAACCTAAGGAGGAGGACATGTGGAGAAGGCGGAGCCCAAGTCATAGGACTTTAAATGTAAAACAAACTCCAAACTCTCCGTAAACTGGATCCAGGAACACACTGGCAGCCAATTTAGATTGTCAGCGATGTGGAAATAACATGATTCCTGGTGAGTGGGGTGGGGCCAAGCAGGAAATCAAACTGCCATGTTTTGCACCAGTTGAAGTTTCTAAACTGTCTTCAGGGACAGGTCCTGTGCAGAAGAAACATTTCAGTAATGTCATGCTGCTACGTTCTGTGGACTAAGGCAATAAATGCTATTCTTCTTCCGCAATTCTAGTGAGGGATTGTCAGGTCATAAATCTAGTTGGTTTCCTCTGCTTGGATTTATCCAGAGTCATTTAATAAACTGTTTCATGCCGGGAATGAGTGGTATAAAGTAAAATCAGTGGATCGAATTGTTTCCAAGGGAACGGACTTTTGCATGGAGGGTCATAAGGAATCTTGCTGGGTGTGGATGAGAACCCATATTACCTTTATATAGTATCAAATACACACATACACACCAAGTTCCTAATACCTCCTTCATGCAAGAGACCAAATCTGTAGAAGCACTTGATTGACAGGTGTGTACCATTCATAGAGCAATAATTGCAACATTTTATTTGTTAATGCTAAACTATGTTGGAAGGAAAGAGAAGTTTCAGACATCATCAATCATTTTTCTCTTTCACAGAAAAAAATGAGGCTGACCGGCAAGCTGAAAAAAGGGAAATAAAGCGCAGGCTCACCAGAAAGGTATTGGGGCATCATGGGCTGCAGGGAATTCTGTACTGCTTTACTAATATTTTTTAAGTAAAAAAGTTTCATTAAACATTACAAACAACAAACAACAAAGTTATTTCATTTACAAACATATACAAAGCACAGCGCAGAAGCAGGGGAAAGTATCCACCAATGTAATATTGTAAACACTGCTCTCCTGCATGTGAAGAGTCAGCTTGTGGCACGGATCCTGCACCTCATGCATTATCCCACTTTCCACGAACTACCACTTGGCCTCTGCACAGTGGAGCCTGAGAGTCTACAGAGTAGGCTGCCCCATATTTCTGAAGCAGAAAGCAGACCACCTCAAACCTACCCCTTTTTGAGACTCCCCAATAGCTCTCCTTCTCTGCATAAAGTGATCAAAGAGAGCCATGCCCCAGATGTAATTAATCCAGGTCTCCAATTTATAACCCCCAACCATACTGAGTTGCCCTAACAAATGACTTTGTTCACATTTCCTTCTGCACCAGCTGCACTAGTGGAAGCCAGTCAGCACACCACGATTATGCCTGGGTGGTGACATTTGCTCCTCATGGGTTTTGGGTTAATCCTTATTTTGCAAGGTTGCACCAAGGCAAGAGGCATCTTTGGATTTGTTGACTTAAGTGAGTTTTCTCTTCACAAAACCACTCACCCACCCTGACCATACACCACACTTCCTCTTTCCATATCTGATTATTGGGAGGCTTTGCACCAGACAGATGCACCAAGGCAACCCACACTGTTCCAAGTCACTGGACTGGAGCAACTACCTGGATATGCAGTGCTGCCACGCTAGGACTTGTGACACTGGATTGGTGCAGCGCTTGTGTCACGATCCACTTCAGCCTTGTGAAGCAGGCCACCAGATTTCACTTGCAAGTCACAATTTCTTTCTCTCTCTCTCTCTCTGCCTTTTAGCTTAGTCAAAGGCCTACTGTGGCTGAACTGCAGGCAAGGAAGATCCTGAGGTTTAATGAATATGTGGAGGTAACAGATGCCCAGGACTACGACAGGCGAGCAGACAAGCCATGGACCAAATTAACCCCTGCTGACAAGGTGAGAAAGGCAAATGCTCTCTCTGCCCAGCCTGTCTCTCCACACTCCTGTCCCAATGCATCTCTGCCAGCCTCAGACGTCCAAGGCCTCCTGTCTTCTCAAACGACTTCATCTGCACCTTACGGTCTGGGGCTGCCTTTCAGAATACTCGTATGACATCACCTGTCATTTCCTTCAAAACCCACCTTTTCTGCAAAGTCTTTCGTCCCTGCAGTAATGAAACCCCCGTGTGTGTTTTGTGGCTGTGTGCCTTCTGCTCTGCCTTCCTCTTCCAGTGACCTCCAGATGTTGTTGCACTCCAGCCCCCATCAGACCAAAACAGTGTGGCTGGTGATCAGGGATTATGGGAATTGTAGTCCAAGAACATCTGGAGAGACACAGGTTCCTCATCCCTACTTCCCATCCAAGCTCCACAATCAGAGGCAGTAGGCTTCTGAATGCCAGATGCTGAAAACTGAAAGAGGGGAGAATACAGTTGAGTTCAGATCTTGCTTATGGGCTTCCCATAGGCATCTGGTCGGCCACTATGAAAGCAGGATGTTGAATTAGGTTCAGGTATGTGCATCTGAAGTAAATACACGTTCCACCCCTGCCTGTGTCTGTTTGCAGTTCTCTATTTGCTCACCTATACAAGATACTAGATTTAAACTTCTCAAGGAACCTCCTGTTCTCTTGTGCTCTGCAAAAGTGCCATACACTTGGGAGAGTGCTATATTTCACCACCACGTTCTTCATTATCTTATAAGTTGAGCCTTGCCTATGTGCAAACTTTCAAGGGGTTTGTTCTGTTCCTCATCCTCTGGACAGTGAGGAACATCCTCCTTGCTGCCTCCATTTCCAGCTGCGTCTCATGCCTCTTGCAGCACCATCCGTTCACCCGCCTCTGCATAATGAGGTTTCCTGTGCTATATTGCAAAGGGGGAACCAAATGCCATGATGACCACAAAAGCACTGATTATAGTCTGATAGAGCTTGTTATAAGTAACAGTCTGATACACCTACATAAAGAAGTGCCACCTATTTTATAGGTCCATGTGTTTGCATCTGTTGAAGAGGCTCTTTGATAGGGGAGCTTGTTTGCTGGGCAAGAGTGAGTGCCTTCTTGGTGGCTGCATGAAAACTGTGCAACAATGTTCTGTTGGAAGTGAATATTCTATCTGCACTTCCTTGTCTGTGTTATACACTATATCGCAGGGTGTTTTGTCTTGATACTGGAATGTGATATGAAATGTTCTGTTTGTTGGAAGCCGCCTTAAGTGATGCTTATGCATTAGAAAAGCAGGGGAAGCCTTCTTACATAACCAAAATAATAAGTAAGTAAATAAACCATACTGAAACCCCCATAAGTAATGAAGCTGCCAGAAACCCTGTGTTTCCTGCCAGCTGTTTCCCCACCTCCCCACCCAGGGCCCTTCTGGTCTCCTGACAGATTCTTTCCTTTCGTGCTTTGATCCTGGACTACTGGTCAGAACATCCAAAGAGGAAGTGCAGCACAATGGCTAAGCTGGGTTGCTTCTGATAGGATGAAATAGACATAAGGCAGACATACACAGCTGGGACACCCTGCTGATTGGATAGCACCTGTCAGGGCTGGAAGTGCTCAGATCTGAACTGACAGGGCTCCTTCTCCCCACTTCTCCCCATTTAGGCTGCCATCCGGAAGGAGCTGAACGAGTTCAAGAGCTCTGAAATGGAAGTCCACGAAGAGAGCAAGCAGTTCACACGGTGTGTAAGAGGGAGGTGCCCACTTTCCTTCCCATGCTTCTTTCGTAGGACTGTAGTAGCTCCTAGCATTCCCACTAGCCTTCCTTGCCATGGTCAGGTTTGAACCAGCATCTCATCGCCTCTCTAGTCTGTGATATCTTGGGGTGGGGAGAGGGCAGAAACTTGCCCCCATGGATTTCCCATCTATAGTGAGCTTTGGACATGCCCCTGCTAAACCCATGTTTGGTGCACGTTGTGTGGCAGGCTGGAGCCAAGAAGGCAGTGGGTATGCTCCGGGTGAGGGGCAATGGAGACATCAACACAGGCAGACATTTGCTGATAGTATTTGATGGTTGGCCAGCACCATCTAGCAGTGAGAGCTTGACAGTTGTGGTTCTCATGTCCTGAGGGCATGACCTGGATGCGGCATGCAAGACCCAAAGCGGGGGGGGGGGGGGGAGGCGTCCAAGCCCATTGCCATTCTCACAAGCACAATGTGATTCTCTTGCAGGTTTCATCGGCCATGAATCTTTTAGAAAACCCGCTCCCCAACACTGATAGATGTGCCAGAGAAGGTTGCTGATGACTTGAGGCATTTGCTGGTTGCCCTCTCCTGAGCTGAAGAGGAACCTTTGAGGGTTGTCTAAGATATGCCTTCAGATCGTATCCAGGAAATGACCTTCTTCAGGGAAACAAAAGAGGGGTGGGGAGAGCCTTGTCCAAAAGTTGCATTTCATTGGAAGGAGTTTCTGTCAAGTGCCATCAAATCACAACGGCGGGGGGAGAAACACTATACCTCAGATGAATCAGCAATAACCCCCTGCTTATAGCTGGGTGCCCTGACTCATGTTAGACGTGGACAGCTCCAGCGTTTGAATGGATAATGCCCTCCCTCTTCCTGTTCTGCTGTAAATAGTATGTTCTGATCTGTTTCACAGGCTTTTTCAAAGGAAGAGATAATATTGGAGCAGCCTTTGTAGGTAGTGAACAGGAAGCAAGAATGTGTGCCTGTGCATGTGGGTGAGAGAGATTGAGAGAGAGTGTGTGCTTGTGCGTGCATGTGTTCTGTACAAAGGAAACTTTAAAATACTGTCCTAGCAGGAAACTGACACATTATGGGAGATTTTGTTTTTGTTTTTTTGCTTATGTCTTTTGGATATACTTAATATGCAGAATCACTACTGACCAATTTTAAATCATCCTGCAGAAAAATTGTATAGTTCTTAAATGGCATATGCTGCATTTTGAGAGAGGGGGACAGTTTTTAGACAATTTTTTTAAGATGGACAACAAAAAAACTTGTAACGTTGAGACCTCTTTTTTCTGGTGCATATTTAGTCCTATATAACAGGAACTGCAAAGCCTAAAACAAGTTGCCTTCAGGAAGCAGATGGCATGGAATATATTGTATATTTTAAAAAATCATGACTTCTTCCTTTTCTTTTTAAAAACTTTCTGAAATTAGAGTGGAACTTGCCTTTTCTTAGTCAAGTAGCAAAATGTATTGGAAGTTCCAAATGTCACATGCTTGAGAAGGGCTTGAAATCGGCCTTTTCATATTTATAAACGTTAGCAAATACGGCATCCCTTGATCTCTCGTGGAATGTTTCTGAATGATTTTGCAAGCCACTGCTGGGTTGCAGGGTTGGCCACCCTTTCGTGCGAGAGGCTGGGAGGGATTTGGATGCGTGTTAACGTAGGTCAGCTTCCCCCAGCTTCAGGCCTTCCAGATGTTGTTGGCCCACAACCATTGACCACGCCAGCTGAGGCTGTTGGGAGTTGTAGTTCAACATCACTTGGCAAGCCTCTGTTTGGGGAAGGTGGATGTAGGTGGCTCCATGTTTGACAACTGCTTTGGTTGCACAAGCTACCCTTGCAGAACATGATGCTGTACCAGTGGGTAGGCAGCGCACAGATGGCTAAAGGCTGTGTCCCATGCCATTCTATGCTTCCTCACCTTGAGAAGAGGCCATTACATACTGCTGAAGCCTACCCAGTTGCCAAACCTTCTGGTGGGTAAGATGCAATAGAAGAAGGGCTGCTATATCTTGCAACAATCACATAAGATAAGGAGTGTCAGGAGGCACTGGATCCAGATTAAATGAATTTAGAACCCACTGAAATCCATAGGAATACGATTGTCAAGACTTTAAAAACCATTGATTTTAGTGGGGACTGCACCACTCACTTTATCTGAATCCAACAGAATACCTTTTCATGAGCAAAGGACAAAAGCCTGGAACACTCTTTGCTATGCAACTGTTAAAGGCAGCAGTAGACAGGTAAGTGGGTGCCTCCAGGTAATCTTGGGCTATAACTGCCATAATCTATGGCCATTGGCCATGCTGGTGGGAGTTCTCCACCCCTGTGCTGAAGCATCAATAATCCCATTCCAATATGTCCTAGTCACCTTACTGGGCAGACCAGGGATACAAAGATCTCAAACTCTGCTTTTGTACCTCAAGGGTTTCATTCTACCCCTAACCCCCTACCCCTCAGATGACCTTTTTTGTTCTCTCTTTCTCCCCCTCCCCCAAACCCTTTTGTTTTCTTGAGCACTGACTTGGTGAGAATATTTTGCAAGGGGTGAGAGGGGTGGAGTTTGGCTTTGTTGCCTTTAAGGCAGAGGATGGGCAATCTGTGGTCTTCCAGATTTGTTGGACTCCTATGGGACCCAGTCAGCATAACCAAACGCTGGAGATTATGGGAGTTGGAGACCAGCATCTGGGAGAGACCACAGGATTCCTACTGCTACTTGAATAGCGTTTCTTCAGGAAGAGTGCAAGGAGAGAAGCTATTGTAGACATCAGGGGAGTGCTGAAGCGCTCTATGCCAGAACTGCTTTTTCAAAGTGTGTAAAATATATTTCTGTAGAGCAGATCATTGCATTGTATAGCTGTCTTCCTTTCAATAAGATTTTATGGAATAAATTTTTTTTAGAAAAGAAAAAGCTTGCTCTTCTCTTCTCCCTCTCAGTTGCATCGTCGACCTCTTGTGCAGTCACTTCCCAGATACAGAGAGTGATTTGGGGTGTCATAGTATCATAGAATTGTAGCGTTGGAAGGGACTCCAAGGGTCATCTAGTCCAACCCCCTGCAATGCAGGAATCCCAGCTGAAGCATCCATGACAGACGACCATCCAACCTCTGCTTAAAAACCTCCAAGGAAGGAGAGGTTTTTAAATTTCCAATGAAAAAGAGGTTTGCTACCTCTACACTCCCTGTAGAGGTAAAAACTATCTTCTAAAAAGTGCAGCTACATACCCCCCCCCCGGCTTACAGATGGAAGATTATTATATCAAATCTACTCAGTGTAATGCATTCATTTCCTCTGCAATTGCTTGTCCTGAACGGTCGTAGAATTATTATTTTTTAAAGGGAGATATAGGTGAGTTCAGTGTGCTTTTTTTCTAAAAAAATAAATGTTTTGGGGTACTCTCATTTTCCTATTCATATTGAAATACTGCCCATCAAGGAGGCCAAATTTAGATTCACAAAATGTTTAGGGGTATGCATACCCCTGCATCCCCCCCAGAAAAAAAACACTGGGTGAGTTTATATGTGCAGAAACCCCTGGTTTTGTGTTATGAATGTCATGTGCCATACAAAAAAACTGCATCCTGTCCACTCTGCCTGCCATTGTCCCCTGTCCCCTGGAAGGCTGCCCTCGGGCAGAAAAGGGTTCCCCATCCCTGGTGTGCAGGGTTCTTTCAAAAATCAGGCCAAAACATGTCCACTCTAGAAAATTTCTACCCACTAGAGGGCAGCCTTGAACTGTTCTGCAAGGACTGTCACTATAAAAAGTTAGATAATTTAGAAAGTTCAAAGGAACAGGAGGTCTGCATCTTCTGAAATTAGATCAATACTAAAGACGGCAGAGTGTTTGGCCCCCTCTTGAAGGGCATCCTGGATCACCTAGAGGGGGCAGCTGAGGGTGCCTGGAGCTTCAGACAAAGTGGAATTGTGCTAAATTTTCAAAGTGTTGAGTTTGGGGAGCTGGGTAGTATGCAAAAGGAAGGCCACAAGCTGCATTTTCAACATTGAATAGCTACTTAACTGCGCAGTATTCTGCATGTCTGCCCAGAACTAATTGCACTGAGTTCAATGGAACTTATTCCCTGGTAATTCCATCAAGCTGCCTGAATGGGAGAGATAGGAATCAGGGCTCATTCCACCAGCTACTCCAGGCACCTCCTAGCCCTGAACTGTTTTCCTGCCAGCTGGCCGTTCTAAGAAATACTATTTGACCATTTGTTGTCTGGGTTTGCTTTTTCCCATTTGTGCCATTCCTTCTGCAGTGAAACATAGAGTTTTAATTCAATTCAGTTTTTAAAAGCAAAGAGCATTAAATCATAAATAACATTGCAAACCAAGAAATGGAAATGGATAGGTTCATCCATTGCAAGTGTCCACAAGCAGTGGTTGTTTCCATTTTGGAGGAGGGACAATTCTTATCCCTTTTCACTTCAACTGTACAACATTTGGTAATCGACCCCAGCTCACCACAAACTCATTCCATTCAATAGGGGGAATGTTTGAGGGCAGTGAAGTCCCTTTCAGATCATTTCAAACATTACCATATTTTTCGCCCCATAGGGCGCACCTAGTTTTTTTGGGGGGAAATAAAGGGGAAAAAATTATTTTCCCCCAGGCGCAGGGCTGGGGCGGGGGAAACCCGAGCTTCCCCCGACCCCAGCCCCCAGAACAGGCTGGTCTCCGCAAGCCGTGGGAGGGCTCCTGCGGCTTGCACAGAGCTACCCGAAGCCCGGGCGCGACTGCTCAGTGCGCCCAGGCTTTGGGATGCAGGCAGCTCTCCGCAAGCCGTGGGAGCCCGGCGGGAACTCCCGCGGGCTCCCAAGGCTTGCGGATAGCTTCCTGGAGAGCGAGAGGGGTCGGTGCGCACCAACCCCTCTCGCTCTCCAGGCTTCAGCGAAAGCCTGCATTCGCCCCATAGGACGCACACACATTTCCCCTTCATTTTTGGAGGGGGAAAAGTGCGTCCTATAGGGCAAAAAATACGGTAAATTCTCTTCACTTAACACCCTTCTCAGCAGAAGCATTTTCTCCTCACAGGAACAGTAGGAAGACATATCCTCTTCCATAATGAAGCTGGCCGTGTTGTGAGCCTGGTGTCCTAGAGGGACAGTGGGAAAAAGTGAGGTCACACTCTGAAAGGCCAATGGAATCAAAGGGAGGGTGGGGAGGAGAACAGGTACTCTCAGGCGTGGCTTACAAGGGCCATGATGTACTGTGGCAGAGCAGGGATGAATGCATAGGGGCACTGCACACCAATCCAATTTCTCCAAATTCATTACCCATCCAGAGACACTCCATGGGGCACTCAGAAAAAGATTCAGGAGGTGCCTGGTCCCCTGCCTAGCCGCATGCCTGGATTGTAATTTCCATCATTCAAGAGGAGAGTCCATCCATCCCTACCAGGGAGGGATGTTGCTTTACTTACCAACAAGCAGTGCTGCCACTCGGGACACATACCTGTTGGTTGGCAGCAGGCTGCAATAAGCTCAGGGCAGCACCCTGGATGACGTCCTTGCAGTATGTCTTGATCTATCAGAAAAGAAAATGGAGAAATGGCAGGTTTGTGCACATAGGAGAATATCCTATGCCCACCTTAAATGCCAAAGACATCCCATGTGGTTTAACACAGAGACTAAGAGCACTGGAGCTGGATGAGGGAGACCTGGGCCCAATTTGCCACATGGCTAGGAGCTTCTCTAGAGGATTCTGGCACAGCCGCTCCCATTACCAACCTGACTGGGCGGTTGGAAAGATAAAATGGGATAACCCTGTGCAAAGCTGCCCTCTCTCCTTACAGCAGCTCACAAAGCAGCTAGAAGCATCCCAAGAATGAAGTAGATCTTACCAAATATTTAGCTGCCTTCTGCGGTGCATGGTGCAGGTGGAACACATTCGGTTCTGCTCACCAGATGACTTTGGGGACCAACAGCTTCAGAGCAGCCTTTGCTGCCTGCAATGCAAGAAGAGAAGTGGGGTGAGATTCCTGAAAGCAAGAAGCCCCAGGTCATAGATAGGGAGAGGAGGGGAGTCAAGAGAAGGAGAAGCTGGAGAGGTTAGCGGCCTCAAAAGTGGACATGTCCATGAGGTTCCGGAGAACAATCCATGCAGGCCCTCACCTCTGCCACCTCTTCTGTGTCCTCCAGGTGAATGAGGACATTCACCACTTCTGCAATGGTTTCCTCTGGCAAGCTGGGATGCCACCACTGCCCTGCCCTACAGCAGCCCCAGGTGTCTATTTGCCACTGCGCGAACCAGGGCTTCGTTCTGACAGCAGGGAAAAAAGAGAAACCATGACCACAAATTGTCCTTTCTCACTTCCAAAGGTGAAAACATTAAATCCATGCCCGCTGTCCACCTGTGTCCAGAGGAGCCCCATGCTGAAAATAGGAAACCTTCCCTGTAAACCTTAAAAGAAACCCTTAAAGAAAAACCAAACCAAAATGAGAAACTTCTACAATAACACAGTCAGATGCTGACTCCGACCAGACTATCCACAAAGGGAAACTGAGGCAAGCCTGAGGAGACAAATGGAGGGGGGGGGCAATTCTGAGCACAAGACGGACTGGTCAAAAGGGGGAGGGAAAGTGAGCAGACTGGCAAAGACCAGCATTTCCTGTCTTTGGGCACCAGAGGGAACCAAATCCACATGCTAGCATGGGAGAATGGCTTTATCTTTGGGTATCTCCCACTGGCAGATGAGCTGCAGCTGTGGGTCCTGTGGGCAAGTGAGTGGCAACTGCAGGTGACATCCTCAGGTGCCAACAGTTGCAGCCAGACCATTCCGCATCCTGATCTGGTTGGCAAAGAGGTGGATGGCGTGGCAAACCCCTGCAGACCATCCATTGTCCACATTATTCTAGGGTGGTGTTTTCTTACTTCAAGCTTCCTTGAGGGCTTCTTAGGAGCCAAACAGTGGGATGAAAAATATGGAATAAATAGCCTGCATTCAGAACACACACACACAAACATACACACCATAACGTGCATTGAAAAAGAACAGGAAAAAGTACTCACGTGGCCAGTTAGGCTGCAATCACCTTCTCAATCCGGCCCGCAGACAGTCCGGGAATCAGCGTGTTTTTACATGAGTAGAGTGTATAATTTTATTTAAAATGCATCTCTGGGTTATTTGTGGGGCATAGGAATTCGTTCATTTCCCCCCCCCCTTCAAAAAATAGTCTGGCCCACCACATGATCTGAGGGACTGTGGACCGGCCCACGGCTGAAAAAGGTTGCTGACCCCTGACTCACAGGGTTGTTGTGAGGATGAAATGGGGAGGAGAAGAACCTTGAGCTCCTTGGAAGATAAAGGGGGCCTAGAAATGCAGTAAATGTATAAATAGTAAAATGTGTGCAACAGAACGACTTTACCATTTACCTCACCTGCTACCTGGGGGTACTTCGTGAGGATGAGGATTCCATAGCCAAGGGTGCTGCTGCCGGTCTCTGTGCCGGTAAAGAAAATATATTATATTATTATTATTATTATTATTATTATTATTATTATTCAATTATTATTATCAATTTATTATTATCAATTTATTATTTATACCCCGCCCATCTGGTTGGGTTTCCTTAGCCTCTTTGGGTGGCTCCCAACAGAATATATGAAAAACATGATATGATAAAACATCAAACATTAAAAGCTTCCCTAAACAGGGCTGCCTTCAGATGTCTTCTAAAAGTCAGGTAGTTGTTTATACACTTGGGAGCACTAGACCTCTACTGCCTCACAGAGCAAGTACCCCTCATTTGATAGCCAAGAGGAGATACTTGTTGGGAACTCCGCCTTTCACAAAACAAGATTTTTCAGGACACCTGGTTAAACCTTTGCCCTGAAATTGTCAGGCCCCTCGGAACAGTAAGCAAGTGCTTCCATTGCGTGTCATGTGACCCAATAGCATGAGATTAGCTCACACACTGAAAAGAAATGGTCCAAGTCTCTTCTCTACAATCCTTGCAGCACCTTACCTTCACCATTTTGTCTGTGAAGTGCTTAATAAACTGTTGGAGCAAACAAAAGAGGTTCATGGTCATAAATTAGTGCATAGTAGGAAGGTGCTTAGCCAGGAAGTTCATGGCCTCAACTGTGAACTCCCAAGCGAAGCCAATACCTGCCAAAAATGAACTGATCAGTGCCAACTGCAAAACCCGCTGGGATCAGTTATACTATTCCCCAACTATGTTCTATACAAAGGTTATGTGTTATGATACCTCATTGCCCACTCACATGTTCCTTGACCTCCTTCAGGACGAAAACTTCTGCAGAGCTTTCATCCACAATCCAGCCATCTCCTGGTTTTTCATACCCACAAGGACAGTAGTCAGCTGGATCTTGAGCTGCTCTTCAGTGAACCCCTCTTAAAGAATGCCAGCAGCATCAGAAATCCTATCAAACTGTACTGAGACACTGAGGAATAGGATTTTTTTTTATTATTGTTGTAGGAAAATCCTTGGGCTCACATTTTTTTGTTGAATTTATTATTTTAAATGGTTTTATACAACAATATTTATTTGATTGTGTGTGTGTGTAGGATATTTTGCTCCATGTGCATCCTCACTTCACACTTAAGTTACATTGAAACACATTTGCCATTTTAACGTCACCCAGTTTGGAGAGATTCTTGTGGAGCCCTTCACAATCCGCACGTTTGATCATCTGAAATCATGGAATCACAGTAGAGTCGGAAGGGACTCCAGGGTAAGGTTACCAGATGTCCCCGTTTCCTGGGGACAGTCCCCGGATTTACAAATTAGTCCCCATACAAAATCCATTGAAGTTGAAAAGTGTCCCCGGATTCATTGAAAAAAAATCTGATAACCTTACCTCAGGGGTCATCTAGTCCAACTGGCTGCCATGTGGGAATCCTAGACGGGCTCGAACCACCAATCTTCTGGTTAACAGCCCATCAGCGTTGTCCACAAACTTCGCTACCTCCCTGCTCCTCAATAGTTTATGAAAAAGTTTAAAAGCATGATTACTTTTCTCTTCGCTGAGAGATGATCTGCATATTTATTCAAACTCTTGTTTTCCTGCAGACTTTAGCTACAGACCCACAAAGGGCCATATGGAGCCCAGCCCTATAAATACATATGCAAAAGTAGCTGAGTGCCAGGTGAAAACATTCCTCATCCAGGCCTTTTGTGAAATAAACAGTCTATGGCATTTTAAATGGTGTGTGGGGTGTGTGTGTGCACTTATGGTGTGTGTTTTTTCTACTGCAAACCGCTCTGTGATCCTTACATGAAGGGCGGTATGTAAATTTGATAAATAATATAATAGGCAAATAATAATATAATAAAAAGTATATCTGTGTTTAACAGAAACTACAGAGGACAGCCCAGTTCTATGCATGCTTACTCAGAAGTTGTGCTTGCATGCCAAGGCACCGGAGCCACAAAGTTCCCAGGAGAACAATAAATCACACTGACACTGAATATAGGTTCAAATAGACCACAACTTTATTGGTTACAGATGTCAGTGGTTTGGCTTGTTGGGATTCGCAGGATACTGGATAAGTCTGCAGGCTTCAACAGGATGATGCAATACTCTGCTGGGTCAGAGTGACTCAGCAGGAGTGTGATTAGTGTGATTGGCTATCACCTGTTTTAAAAGGAAAGCCTGTTTAACAGTGGGTGTGGTGGTTGTGCTGTAGTGTGGTGGTGCTGTGGTGGAGAGTATTCGTTTGTAAGTACTCTGTATGGACTGTTTCTTTTGTAAATGCCTGTATATAGCTCACATTAAAAAAGGACTGCACTGGAAAAACCTGGAACTCTTAGCGTCTCTGCTGAAAGCACCGGTGGAATACGCGACAGGGTTATGGGCCCAGCACGCTTCCGCTGCGCAAGAGTACAGGTGGCAGTTATCTAGCCGTGGGTGCTGGAGGTGAGCTGCAGGGATGGAGCAGTCCAGAACTGGCATGTTGCTGGAGAAGCTGACAGCCACAAACTACAGCATCTGGTCGGTCCGCATGCAACACTTCCTCAAGCGTGAGGGCCTGTGGAAGGTGGTGGAAACTCCACCGCAGCCCCCTGAGGAGGATGAGGATGACGATGAAAAGCTGGCACTAGCAGAGGCCCAGCTTGAAAAGGATGAGAAAGCTTTGGCTACGATCATCCTTGGAGTGGACGACAGCCAGCTAGTCTACGTAGCTGATAAGGTGACAGCAAGTGAGGCGTGGAATGCGCTCAAGGCTGTCCATGTGCGAGAGACAGCTGGCTCACTGATAACACTGACCAGGAGACTGTACCGGTGTCGGAAGAAACCGGGGGACTCCCTGGTAAACCACCTAAAATTCCTAACGGGCTGTTTCCAGGAGCTAGCCTTAAGAGGGAGGCCTGTGGGGGAAGAGGACAAAGTCTTTATAGTCCTGAGTTCCCTTGATGACAGCTATGATATGCTGGTCAACTCCCTCAAGTCGGTAGAGACTGATAAGCTGACTCTGGAATACGTTACTGGACGGTTGTATGCAGAGGAGGACAGGCGTGCAGAGCGAAAGATGACCTCAGCCCAGCTGTTGGAGCATCCCAGAGGGAACAACAGCCGGGAAGAGCAGGGGTGTCGGGAGCCGGAGAAACAGCCAGGAGGAGCTGCTGCAGACCAGCCGGTGGTCAACAAAGTAAAAAGGTGTTTTTGCTGCAAGTCCAGTGGACATCTGCTGCGGGACTGCCCAAGAAAACAACAAAAACAGCAGAAGCACAGGAGGCAGCAGACGGAGTCTACCGCTTGGGTGTCTGCAGATGGTCAAGAAAATGAAGAGCTGTGGGTTCTGGACAGTGGAGCTTCTCAAACCTTTTGTAAAAGAAAAGGACTGCTAACTGATGCTAGGGCTTCAAACAAAAAACATGTAAGTCTTGCTACGGGCCAGAAAGCAAATGTGGTTTGTGAGGGGGAGGTTGTGTTCCCACAGCTGGGACACACATTCAGGAATGTGTTGTGTGTGCCTAGTTTGCAAAACAATCTCCTGAGCATTCCTGACTTGGCAAAAGCAGGCTTTGAAGTAAACTTTGTGGGAGATCAGTGCCAGATAAAGCAAAATGGGGCAGTGTTGGCAAATGCTAACCTTAGAACTAATATGTATGTACTGCAGTGTGAGTCTAAGGTTGCGAATGTGCAAAATGTCCCAACCCATGATATGTGTATTCATCTCCTGCACAGGCGTCTGGCTCATGCAAGCTATAAGGTGCTGAACAAAACATTGGAGTTGTGTGGGGGGATGAAAAACATTAAAAGTTGTGATAATTACTTAGACTGCAATATCTGTAAGGAGGTTAAAAGCAGGGCTTGCCCAGTAGCAAGAGCAAGCCAGAGAGAAACCAAAAAACCACTGGAGTTGATTCATGGTGATGTAACTGGTCCTTTTCCACCAAGTGTCTCCCATAACAAGTACTGTTTGATTCTAGTGGATGACTATTCTAGATTTGGCTGGGTCTATCCATTAAAGCAAAAGTCTGACGTTGCCCAAACTTTGAAATTCTGGGTAAGAAGGGTAGAAAGGCAACTGAGCGAAAAGGTGTGCTCTATTCAGACAGACAGGGGAGGAGAGTTTATGGCAAGCTCCCTAAGAAACTGGTTGCGTTCCCAAGGGATTAAACATAGGCTTACCAATGTGGCGACGCCTCAGGAGAACGGGGTAGCAGAGCGTAGGGGAGGTGTCTTGCAGACACAAATGAAAGCATTGTTAGCAGATGCAAATCTTCCAATTAAGTACTGGGCTGAGAGTATTAAGACCGCAAATTATATTGGGAATCGCTTGTGGTCAAGGGTACTAGATGACATACCCTATAAGATTCTCTATAACAAAACTCCTAGTTTGCAACATTTGAGAATCTTTGGGACAAAGGCGTGGGTTGACATACCTGTAAAAAAACGAAGAAAAGGTGGGAAAAGGGCACAGCAGTTGCTATTTCTTGGGTATGAAAGTGGTACGAAAGCCTATAGGTTTGAAGATGATAAAAACCTTTTGAGTTATAGTCGATCAGCCAGCTTTAATGAGCAAAGAAATTGGCCCAAGATACATGCAAACCTGCTGCCAGAAAAAGTTTTACTGCCGAGCATACCTGATAAGGCAGTTGAAACAAAGCTAAGAATTGGCAGCTCTCCCAGAGAAACTGAAAGGGAGGAGGTAAAGGTTGAGCATTTTTCTCCAGCTGCTAGCATAAAGCAGGGGAGAGAAGAAAGTGCAACAGGGACAGGAGGAGGTAGATCTACAGAGTCAATCCACCCTAAAAGCAGTCCTGAAGGTAGCCCAGGGGGTGAGATTAATGAACCAAGGAGGTCTGCAAGAAGTAATAAAGGTCAACCTCCAGACCGTTATGGGTTCCCAGCCACCATAAACCAGGTTTGTGTAACTGAGCCAGAAAACTTTGAAGAAGTGCAAGAGTTACCTACTCTAGAGAAAGAGGCGTGGTTAAAGGCAATGCAGGCAGAGTATAACTCTCTGCTAAACAACAATGTGTTTGTACCTACAGAATTGCCTGAAGGTAAAAAGCCCATAAGCTGTAAGTGGGTTTTTAAAGTGAAAAAGCTGGCTGATGGTAGTTGTCAGAGGAAAGCCAGGTTGGTTGCAAGGGGCTTTACACAAAGGAAAATGATACATTATGATGAAGTGTTTGCCCCAACAGCAAAGGCTGAAACAGTAAAATCCGTTTTAGCAATGGCAAGTCTGAGAGGGTTAAAAGTTAATCATTTTGATGTTGCCTCAGCATATTTAAATGCTCCTATTGACGCCGAGGTGTATTTACAGCAAATACCAGGTTATGAGCTGGAAAAAGACAGCATGGTGTTAAAACTGCAAAGGGCACTATACGGTTTACACCAAAGTGCACGTCTATGGCATGAATGCATAGACACAACTTTGAAAAGGATGGGATTCAAACAAAGCCTGGCTGATTCCTGTTTATATTCAGCAATGGTGCAAGGAAGTGTTTGTTATTTACTTTTGTATGTTGACGATATCTGTCTAATAACAACTGCACAAAAGCAAGTGTCTTGGTTTATAAACAGCCTAGGTAACAAATACAAACTGAAGTATTTGGGAGAGATTCAGAATTACTTAGGAGTAGAGGTTCAGAGAAATGAAGAGGGCGCCTACTCTCTGAGTCAGAAGGAAAAAATTGAAAAGTTACTGAAGACATATGGAATGGAGAGGGCAAATGAGGTTGACACTCCCATAACTACCCAGTACAAAAATGAACCAGAAGGGCAAAAATGTGAGAATGCAACAGCGTTTCATTCTCTGTTGGGTTCTCTGTTATATTTAAGTTGTTGGACAAGACCCGACATAACATTGGCAGTGCACATGTTAAGCCAAAGAAGTGCAGACCCGGCTCAGAGAGATTGGGTAGCACTTAAAAGAATCCTAAGGTATCTGAAAGGCACAAAAGATTACAAACTGGTGCTGGATACAGGATATGATCAGCAAGTGTATGCATACACTGATGCCAGCTGGGGGGACAGAGAAAATGGAAAGTCTACCACTGGCTATGCCATATATATTGGAAATGCCCTGGTTCAGTGGAAATCCCAGAAACAAACATTTGTTGCCACAAGTACTTGTGAAGCAGAGTACTCAGCCATAAGCGAATGCGTATCACAAATAGAATGGTTTGCTTGCCTAACAAAAGAGCTTGGAATACCTTCAGAAATGCCAATCACTGTGCTAAGTGACAACATGGCTGCACAACAGCTTGCTAACCAACAGAACTTTAAAAGCAAGAGTAAACATATTGCTATAAGATACGGAAATGTGAAAAATGCTTTGGGAAGAAATGTGTTAAAGGTACAGCACTGTAACACAAAATGTAATGTGGCAGATTTGTATACAAAATGTTTGGATGCTCCTAAATTTCGAGACTTAAGAGAATTATTAGGTCTCAAGCCTTTGACTTAAGGAGGAGTGTTGGGATTCGCAGGATACTGGATAAGTCTGCAGGCTTCAACAGGATGATGCAATACTCTGCTGGGTCAGAGTGACTCAGCAGGAGTGTGATTAGTGTGATTGGCTATCACCTGTTTTAAAAGGAAAGCCTGTTTAACAGTGGGTGTGGTGGTTGTGCTGTAGTGTGGTGGTGCTGTGGTGGAGAGTATTCGTTTGTAAGTACTCTGTATGGACTGTTTCTTTTGTAAATGCCTGTATATAGCTCACATTAAAAAAGGACTGCACTGGAAAAACCTGGAACTCTTAGCGTCTCTGCTGAAAGCGCCGCGTTGAATACGCGACATGGCTTAGGTGCAGGTGTGAAGCCAGGCTATGTCTTGACTCTTGCTCGCCTGCAGGGAAGAGTAAACCACGGATAGGGGGTGCCCTATAACTTATGTCAGATAGGTCCCTGTAGGGGCTGTGACATGGCCCTAGCCCACGCCCAGGCTTTGGACAGTATTCACACCCCGGATCCCTTTAACAGGATACCCTTACTGAGCTGGGCCAGGCGAGGCAACAACCTCCCTTTCAACCAAACAAAGGCTTACACAATGCCTAACCTCACAAAAGCTACTAGGTAGGCAAAAACCAAATGGCTGGTGTCAATTTGCCACGTGGAAAACATTCCTACCCGGCCCTAACAACATGGTGACTGACAACTGCCATAGCAAGATCATAGCAGAGCAAAGCATGGAAAGAGGGTGCCACAGCCAAAACGACAAGCAGCAACACAAAGCAGATGCACACACCCTCAAAAGCAAATGAAGTAAATGCAAATAAACACGAACGCAGCCGTGGGGGTAGGGGGTGGGAAAGTTTTCACAAAATCCACAGAGAAGCAAGGTGTGTGTGTGTATGTAGGTGTGTGTGTGTGTAGCAAAGGGTGAAGGGGGGGGTAAGGAGAAGCAACTGGAGAAGGGGGAATCCAAACCATCTCACCCAATCTGAGGCTTGTGGTGAAGGGAGACCTCTGAAGCAAGGCATCCTGGCAATTAGCGAGGGGGAAGCCAAAGGCAGAGCAGAAGAGCGGTGGACGCTGCTTCAGCAGCCGAAGGAAAAAATGCGTTGCTCCCCACCTGTAAGTCGCCCGCTTCACAGCTGATTGCAGGCAGCCAGCCAGCCCTGCGGGAAGCAGTAGCTGCAGCCAGGCTGCTAAGCTCTGCTGGGGAAGGCAACGAAGTTCAAAACAAAAGGCTTCTAGAGCAGGGGGGGAAACGACCGAAAGAAAACCGCAGGCAAAGCTCAGTGCTGATCCGAAAAGGCAAGGAAAAGTGAGCGCGCGAGCCAAAATTAAATGGCCCGCGGCCACACCCACCCAGGCCGCAGATTGGCTGGGGTGATCCCCAGCACCTAGACAGCATCTTAAAAAGCAGAGACATCACCTTGCCAACAAAGGTCCGATAGTTAAAGTTATGGTTTTCCCAGCACTGATGTATGGAAGTGAGAGCTGGACCATCAAGAAGGCTGATCGCTGAAGAATTGATGCTTTTGAATTATGGTGCTGGAGGAGACTATTGAGAGTCCCATGGACTGCAAGAAGATCAAACCTCTCCATTCTGAAGGAAATCAGCCCTGAGTGCTCACTGGAAGGACAGATCCTGAAGCGGAGGCTCCAATACTTTGGCCACCATGAGAAGAGAAGACTCCCTGGAAAAGACCCTGATGTTGGGAAAGATTGAGGGCACAAGGAGAAGGAGACAACAGAGGATGAGATGGTTGGACAGTGTTCTCGAAGCTACCAGCATGAGGGAGGCAGTGGAAGACAGGAGTGCCTGGCGAGCTCTGGTCCACGGGGTCACGAAGAGTCGGATGGACACGACTAAACAACAATCCCCAGCCCAGATGACGGGCAGGCTGTGACGCGGGGTTGGTGGCAGGCAACGTACCTCCCCCCTACGCCTGAAAACTGTCGCGGCTCGGCTGACTGGCTGCAACGCCGTGAACGGACTTCTCAAGCTAAACTGAAACTTAGTAAAATCATCCGTGTTTAATAAAAGATGTAGGAGCCCAGCCCTACCCCCCCCCAAATCTCTGCGAGGTGGAGAGAACGTGCGGCTGAGTGACGGGGCCGGCCTCAGTGGCGTCACGACGCGGGCTCATTAGAACCCTCGATAGAAGGCAGCTTCAGGAACAACGCCGATGCTGCGACGCGATAGGCTGGCCGGACTTCGTCCCGCCCCCCTCGCCGTCCCGGAAGCGGCGCTCCCGCATCCAGGAAGTGACGTCACCCGCGTCCCCCGGCCCGGAACCTCCCCCTCCTGGTGATGGAGGAAGAGGAGGTTGCGGTGGGGAAGATGAAGCAGTTCCACGGCGGCGTCAGCGTGGGGGTCGGCGGCGGCGCCGGGGGAGCAGGGCTGGATCCGGAGCGCTGCCGTTTCCCTTACTGCGTGGTGTGGACGCCCATTCCCGTGCTCACGTGAGTCTCCGCCCCTTCTCGGGACGCCGCGTCGGAGACCCCCCCCTGCCCCGCTCAGCCTAGCCTACTTCGCAGGGCTGTCAGGAAGGTGAAATGGGGCTTTTTTGGGGTGGGTGGGGGGGCGACACGGGCAGTCTTGCAACACTTGCTTTGGGTCTCGCCTACCTCACAGGGCTGTTGTGACGGTAAGAGATGGGCTGTTCTTTTGGAAGGAAGCGGGGCTCGAAGTACTGTTGTTTACTGATTGCACATTAACGAATAAAGTTCTCTGGGCCGCTCACAAAATAAAACGGAAGGTCGAAATAATGATTTAAGCTTAAATGTGTAAAAGACACAAAGATAGGACCAGGAGTTATTGAAGCAATAGCTCCAGTTTTAACGGGGACGGGATGGGTGGTGGGGGAGAAGAGGGGGGAGACAGCAGCAGCAGCAGAGACTAAAGATGTCCCTCTCTGCATTTTCCTAAACACTTTTCTTTAGGGGCAAAATCAAACTTCAGAAGTATGTCAGGTTGTTGGGTCATATATAAGACTGTGCTTATTAGAAAATTGTGCTGTATCAAGTAGTTAAGTAGAGCATTGGGATCTGTTCATTTTTGAAATGTTCCCCCTTGTGAAGTAATTTAAAACAAAACAAAAAGTTTAGAATGTGGTGTGATTATTATTTTTTTGTCTACACAGCTGGTACTGTTGCTTGGGTCCATTCTCCCCCCCCCCCTGTTTGTTCTAGTAATTTTGTTTCTCCGTTGTGGGCAGAATCTTTTTTTCCCTTTCCTGCTTACAAAAAATAGTACATGGGGGGGTTCACCTTAGTGCACTTCAGATGAACAGTAGGTTCAGAACAGAAAGACATAAAATAAATGTGTGTACAGAGATAGATAAGTCTGGATTTTTAGGATTCAGCTAATCACTAAAATATTGAATATTCCTTAACCCATCTGAGCATTCCATCCTCAAAGTTCTCTAACTGCCACCTTAAAAACAGCATAATTTCATCTTTATCAGAATAGCTGATGAAGCTGAAACATTTTGCAACAGAAATTTTAAAAACCCTTCTTGTTAATCACAGCAAAGACACCTCTGACTTTTGCGTAGCTTGGATGTAGAAAGATAAGAGTCACATTTGTTGCTCCACCCATTTTGTTGCCTCTGGCCCCAGCCTCACCTAGTGTGTAGAAAGCTGCCTGCCAGAGAGTGTGGACCTTGGACTGAGAAAGGTTCTCCACCCCTTGTAGGAGTTCTGTAGTCAGATCTTTGAATGGAGGCTTTAAAGAAGCCATTGTAGTGCTGGAGAAAGAGATATTCAACATTTTTTCTCCTTGGTCTCATTTTCCTGACCTAAATGTCAGGTGTTCACACCCACAAAATTGCTGCTACTCATGTATGGGGAAATCTAGGATTATCTGTTTTCCCCCCTTCTGCGGAGCAAATAGGAGCAGGGTGTTGATGTCGGTTTAGATTGGGAAAGTGCCTATGGGGAAAGAGTTAAACACCTGCCCTTGGAGCCAGTACGCTAATTAAAATCAGTGCTCCACACAGCCGCTTTGAACAGCATTTAAAGAAAAGCTTTGGGATCTTATCACAGGTAACTAAGAGTGTATTGATTGCATTAAGATGGAAGCTGGTCTCAATAACCTTTGAGGTTTCTCCCAGCTCTATGATCTCCCATGTTGTGTCTCTTTGGACCTTAATGTGGCAGGCTTTGGTGCCTAGACCTAATGCACCCTGGGGTTTAAAAACACATGGTTTAGGAATACAGAAATTATATTTGTCCAGTATTGCAGGTATTTACATAACTCAGAAATTATTTTGAAAGCCTGAAGGACAAAAGAAGAAAATGTTGCTTGACTCTTACAGGTCAGAAAAAAGATCCTAAACTTTCTGACCAGGTGTGGGGAACCTATGGTCCTCCAGATGCTGCTGAACTACAACTCCCAACAAACAAGGTCAGTGGTCAGGCATGATGGGAGTTGTAGTTCAGTAACATCTGGATAGCCACAGGTTCCCTATTCCTGTTCTAGATCCTTGCACCTCTTCCTTGGTTTTATGCAATCTTCTAGGGCAAACCTCTGGGGCTCCCTGGCCATAAAACTTGTGTGTCTGCTGCAGAGGGTGTCAACTTCTTCAGCTGGTACTGACAGCGTTCTGTAGATTGGCATCTGGGGTATGATGCAGTCCTAACCATATCTACTCAGAAGTAAGTCCCATTTAATTCAGTGGGCCAGCCTTACTTCCAAGTAAGTGGGATTAGAGTTGCAGCCTTAGTTAAAAGGTAAAGGGACCCCTGACCATTAGGTCCAGTTGTGACCGACTCTGGGGTTGTGGCGCTCATCTTGCTTTATTGGCTGAGGGAGCCGGCGTACAGCTTCTGGGTCATGTGGTCAGCATGACTAAGCCGCTTCTGGTGAAGCAGAGCAGCGCACGGAAACACTGTTTACCTTCCTGCCGGAGCGGTACCTATTTATCTACTTGCACTTTGATGTGCTTTTGAACTGCTAGGTTGGCAGGAGCAGGGACCAAGCAGCGGGAGCTCACCCCGTTGCGGGGATTCGAACCACTGACCTTCTGATTGGCAAACCCTAGGCTCTGTGGTTTAACCCACAGTGCCACCTGCGTCCCTGCAGCCTTAGTTATCTTCTGGCAAATATGCTTGATGGCTTTAAAGACCATGGACTCTGCCCAACTGTTGCTGTACTTTGGGTGGGATTCAATTGCATACCACCATATTAGGTCACACCATTAGGCTGCTCCTGTGAAATGAATCCATGTCTCCCAAAGACTGGTGGGAATAAAGCTCCAGCTTTCTTCTTCTTGGATGCTTCCAGACTTGCTATTTTTCAAGTGAGATTCAATCACATACTGGCAGATCAGTTGACTGGGAGACATTGCAGGACAAACCCACCTCCCCAAAAGATCAAACTTAATGGAGAAACACACTGGAAAGTGTGTGGTGACACTTGCTTTGGCACAACATTGTCTAACCTCCCCAAAACAAATCAGGATGAATGTTCAATAAATGAATTGTCTGCAACTGCTCCTAGGTTACAAGGGCTTTCTTCCACCAGATCACCTGGAGATGATTCCTACTTATCTATTTGTGGCATGGAAAGTAGTTGTTTAGAAGCCTGCGTGTAGCCTGTTCAGGAGGAATACATATAGTCTACAACCATTCAGAGCACAGGGAACTTTGAAACAGGAAAAAGACCAAATATCCCATCTGATTTGTGACCAGGTTAGGTCCTGTTGGCTTTGATGGACTGTCAGAGTTGTCGCTGTCTCTCACCCTGTTCAGTCCTGTCAGGCCACGGCCTTGGGCAGCCACTGCAGCATCTTTTTAGCAACTTAACCTTCAAGGACAAAAAACTAGGCCCCCTGATACTTTCTTTTCTTCTTTTGGTAGATGGCTGTTCCCCATTATTGGTCACATGGGCATTTGTACCTCAGCTGGAGTCATTCGGGACTTTGCAGGGCCATACTATGTCTCGGTAAGTAGAAGCTTGTTCCTGTGGCTTTGTTGGCAACCACTGAGTCGTGGCCAGTGCTGCTGTTCCACTATCGCAGCAGTACTCTTGCTTTTTCCTCCTCTTCTCAGCAGCCGCACCCCTGCGCACCCTCAAAATCTGCTCCAGGGGGTTGGAGGACCCTCCAGAGCTGATTCTGAGGGCACGTGGGGAGGGGATTCCTAGTTGCCTATGATAACCAGGCAAGTGATTAAATAACAAGACTGAGTTGAGATTCATCCAGGTGGTCATGTAAAGAATAAGACTGGGCTCTCCACCACCAGTTGCTCCTTCCTCTTGTACACGAAACCTGAAGCCTATAACAGTGCAATCCTATACTTCTCTACTCAAAAGCAAGTTTCTTGAGTTCAGTGGGACTTAGTCTCAGCTAAGTGTGTATATATTTCCAGGGTTAGTTTCCTTTTCCTTCCAGTAGCTCCAAAGAGCTCTGAAAATTCATGTTTGGTTACTAGTTCCAGAATGTTCTGAAGCAGACAGATGCACAAACCTCTTGGCCTCTCTCTATCTTTCGAGAGATAATAAGCATTGAAGAAGACAATCCTGTTCCAAGTGTCCCAGCAAATTTAGGAAAAGAAAACATGAAGGGGGGCTGGTGGTGGGAGAGAGTAGCTAATTTGTCTGACTTATGTGTCAGCAATATTTCAAACTGGAGTAAGTCTTTTGGCACCAAGCACATCCAAACATCTATTCTATTGACTAGAACAGAATGGTGTGTGTTTTTCAAGTCAATCTTCAACAAGGGGAGGAGCCCTTGTAGGGAAGGTTTCTGTGGGCGTTAACAGCCCCTGTTGTAATTCCTCAGAACCCAAGATTATGTATTTAGTAATATGAATTTCTTTATTCTATGCTACTCAGGAAATAAAGTGTGCTTATTATTTTCCCTCCTGCTCTCTCTAGGAAGACAACATGGCTTTTGGGAGGCCTGTAAAGTAAGTGCTGTTTTCTCTCCGCCCTCTCCTGATGCATTTACTTGCAAAGAAACTGTATCCACAGAAAAGCTGAGCAATGCATGCCGTATTTTAGCTATTAAGGCAGACTAAAAATTCAGATTGCAGGAGAGAACTGGGACCTGTGCTTCTCAGTGAGGAGCATAACATGAAATCTCTCCTTAAGCAGAAAACCTGCAGCCGTCTGAGGTTTCAGTGTAATAATAATATTTCTGCTGCTTTGAGAATGGATGGAATGTCATTTATTGGTGCCCACAGACTAAGACAAAAAGCTGCTGAAACTTCTGAATGAACAGAATCCTTTTAGGAGATTCCAAGTCTGTAATCCTTATGGGGAAGACAACTATCAGACCTCTTCAAAGCTACACACACCCCTTTTTGCCCAGATCTAAGCATAAGGAGCAGGAAGGGCTAGAAGATGCAGATTCCCAATACATTGGGAATCCTCTTTGGGAACCATCTTATTTCCAGCTTCTGAAATTCCACCCATGCACTTTCTATATTGTGTGTGCAGCAGTAAGGGCTGGAAACAAGTTTAAGTAGGGAAAGGGTTTCTCGGGATGTTAAATGCTGCATCCAGTTATAATTTCTGCACTTCATTAACTAAGCACAAGTAATGGCTGATGAATGCACACACAGCACAAGCACACATACACACAGCCTTGCTTTCAGAGTTTCTGGATCTAAATTGGCAGAGATGTCATTTGAAAATCCTACAAGCAACAGAATTTATTAGAAGAATGTTGTGTGTTGTTGTTTTCCCAGATACTGGAAGCTGGATCCCAGCAAAGTGTATTCCTGTGGCCCTAATGCTTGGGATACTGCGGTGCACGATGCCTCTGAGGAGTACAAGCACCGTATGGTGAGGTGACTTCAGTACTCAAATCGGCAGGGTCGCATGCACCCAGAATTGGTTTGGGGCTGGGAGGGCAGAGTAAGGCTCTTGCTGCTGATCAAGAAACCTTTTGGAAACACAAGCTTGCTTGCCAGCTACTGAAGATAAACAAGGAGTTGTTTTAGATGAGCCCTTCTAACTGTGAAAACCCTGCATCGCAGACCAGCAACCTGTGGTCTTCTCAGATGTTGTCACACTCCAACTCCCATAAGCCCCAGCTAGTTTTAGATTGTTTCTAATACTGTACTTAATGCTGTAGCCTGTCCTGGGACCTTAGGCTGAAGGGTGGGTAATGAATATGTATTTAATAATAAAAGTATCGTCAGCAGTGTGCTTTTTACCATTTCAGCACAACCTCTGCTGTGACAACTGCCACTCTCACGTAGCCCTGGCCTTAAACCTCATGCGATATGACAACAGCACTTCCTGGAATATGGTCAAACTTTGCTTCCTCTCCCTTCTATACGGAAAGTACGTAAGGTGAGTAGAAAGCTTGACTGTTGCTGTGAATACTGTGGCATGCAGACTTTGATCAAGGGCCTTGATCTCCACCAAGCTTCTGCAGTACGTAGCAGTCTGGTGACCGGTTATGTTTATTGGGATTTGAAAACTATTTGGCTCATAGAATCTGATGGTGCTTGCAACATCAAGCCCTTCTGGACGGCAGGTTTGGTCCCGGGGTCAACAGCAAGCCCTTGTGATGAGTGGCCAACTTTATGGACAGGAAGTTGGCTGTGGGCAAAACCTCCTGGGAACTTCACTTGCGCAGTTGAGAAAGCACAGCCAAGTGTGCATGCACACAAAAGCTCACACCAATAACAAACTTAGTTGGTCTCTCAGGTGCTACTGGAAGGGGGAAAAATTATTATTTTGTTTCGACTATGGCAGACCAATACGGCTACCTACCTGTAGCCAGTTAATGTATTTTCTCCAGCTATTCTTTTCTAAAGTACAGCTTGGAAACTGAGCTTTCCTGTGCTGGAAAAACCCCCCGAGTTACCTGGTATTTATGCAGATTTAAGTAGGGCTGAGCTTAAATTGCACACAAACACTTTCACCACCTTGTACACAGGTTGGAAATAGCCTACCCTCCCACCCTAATCCTGGGAACTGTAGATTACCGTTCACAGAGCCAAACCCTGGACAGGCTCCCAAGATTCTTTGGGGAAAGCTGCGTGGGTTGAATGTATGGCACAACCTTCCTTAACAGGCTTAAGTAAAGCCGAGATGACTGGCACAGCTTGTTTCCCCTCCTGTGCTTCCAGCTTCCCAACACCCCTCTCCAGTTTCTGCCCCATCTCCTTCATGGTCCCACCTGCCACTTACTCGCCCTGCTTCCTCTCTTGTTCTCTAAATCTCTCTTTCTCTCCCTTGCAGCATAGGGGGCTTTGTGAAGACCTGGCTTCCTTTCATCCTCTTTTTGGGGATTATCCTGATAGTCAGCCTGACTCTTCACTTGCGATGATGGACAACGCCGGCGTTCTCCCCTCTTTTGAAGTCAAATCTTGAAAACTCTGGCTCTCTGAGCCCAGGAAGGCTGTGGAAGTAAGCTGCGTGGCCCAGAAACCTGCAGAAAAGAAGTGCTGCGTAATAACAACTCTTCCTTTATCCTAGTGGACTTTCTTTTCTTCCCTCCCCACCCCCCTTTTCTTCCTCATAATTCTTCCCTTCAAACATCAAGGGAAAGGGGGGAACCACCGCATCTTGCTTCTCGCCAAAGGTCTCTTCTGGTTCAAAGTTCCTGCCTAGGGATGTACGACCTGGACTTGGATTTGTAGGTGGTGTGGTGAGGACTTTGGGCACATCGCAGTAGGCGCCGGGGCTGGTTGTAAGCTTCCTCAATCTCTCGCAGAAAGCTTCTCGATGGCACTTTATGAGGAATGATAGCAGTGGATGCTGTGGGTTGGAGTTGGAGGGGTTTGGTTTTTAAATCTGCTTGCGCTGGTAAAGGGGGTTTGTGGCATTCTTGGTCGTAACAGTGTTCCTGTGGCAGGGTACTGCAGCGATTGGCAGCCTGAAATGACAGCCTCGTTGCTCAGGAGAGCTGGGGTTGCCTTCAGTCTTCGCTTCTGCAGATAGGACTTTTTACCATAGCGTAGAGGTTGTGTTCTATTCTCCTTTGCACAAGAAGTGCATTTTTTGGTTTGCTTTTAATTTGGTGCTCCTCGGAAATGCCATCGTTCTGAAAGCAGCTGATTTCTCTACCCCCCCCCATGGTCCCACCAACCTAAGTGATATTTGGTGCAGTCGTTTCCAAGGGTGACCTTGAGCTGTTCTTGTTGAGAGTTCTATTAAGACATCTTGGTCTGCTTCATAAAACCAGTTCCCAAAGATTTTTTGCACACATGTGTGTGATAGAAACAGAGTGTTCTACCCACATGATGGTTAAACTCTATGGCTTATAACGTAGTTCTGCACAACACTGTGCCTTGAAAGACTCCAGAAGCAAAACTCGCCCCAGGGAGATGCCTGATCTAACCCAGCGAAGCTGGAAGTCTTACCAGTATGAAGTCTGTTCTGAAGGGAAGAGAACCATTCATTCAAGAGCCAAGTTCTCTCGTACTGCTTTCCAGGTAACCTGAAAACAGGGCAGTCTTCAGCAACCTGGTGACCACGTTAGGTTTTGCACTGCAGCTCCCATCAGTCACAGCTAGCACATACTGCCCGGGTCTGATGGGAGTTGTAGTCAAAATATCTGGAGGGCACCAGGTTGGCGAAGGCTGCACTAGAAAATTGTGTGCCGCCCACTTAATTTTGGCCTTGGCCCATGTAGCAATGAAAAGTGCAGTCTTCCTCCTCCTTTTTTTAACTGAAGGGGACGGAAAGTGCTACACTGCTCTGCTGCATGCCACCCCCTCCCACCCTCCCCTCCCCATGCTAATCTCCACCCTTTCCAGTCTTTCACACACTCCCTGGATGCCAAGTACTTTGCACTGTGCAAAGGAGCAGCTCATTGTCTTCCCCTTGAAACACCTGCGTCCGAGCAGGTCCTCTTGGGTGTCGGACTCTTGCCATTTCAACCATGAACAACGGCAGCTGTAGAAAGCCGATCAATAAGCTCTAGGCTGATTGGAGATCAAAGGTCTTAGATCAAAGGGAATGCGTGTGGTGGCCTATCCCGCTGCCCCTCTGCCCCTTCGCTTACACTCCCACACCCAGTGGGGATTCTAGTTCTGAGGGAAATAATAAACCAGATCCACTGAATAGAGACTCTATCCCTCCCTCCCTGCTCTCGTGTGTGTGTGTGTGTGTGTGTGTGTGGGAGTGGGGGGAATCTTGCAGTGATTTGCCAAAAAAAAAAAAAAGAGCTCCAGGAAACCCAAGCAACTCACAGACCTGGCGCTCACAGCCAACTTCCTTTCTACAGTAGCCGTAGCCTCAACTGGTCTTTTGAGTCAATTAAAAAGTGCTTTGCTGACATGATGCAACTATACAAGCGTTGCCACATGTTAAAGTTGGCAATAGATGCAGGAGGAGCAAAGATGCCAGAAACTCCCATCACTCCTTTCCCTCCTTCCCTCTCCCGCTCCCTTTACCCCCCCCTAGCATTCTCATAATATTTCTACATTCTTGAACAGCCTGCTTAGCGGTGAAGAGAGGTGACCAATTGGGAAGACAGTGGAACTTCTCCGACTCACCCCAGAAGTCAAATGTGCTAACCTACTAAAGGCACAGAGAAGTTACGAATCTGGGTCTTGAATCCCACTCCAAAGGATTTCCTTGTTGCAGCCAAGGGATGGGGATGGTGGGCACCAATAACTGATGGGAAGCAACTGCCCTCTCCCATGCCTGCCCCCAACACACACTGCAGGTCTTCTGTGGTGAGTTTTTAAGTGGTTGCTGAACTCTGCCCCTTATGACAAAGCCACCACTTCACTCCACCGTGGTCCCGAATTTCAGCCCTGCCTTTGTTTACCGTACTGCTGGAAAAACCTGAAACTGTTGGCATGGCCATGGCAGTGGGTGGGAATGCGGGTTTAGTGGAAGAAATAAAATTGGGACATCCTTACCACAAGCCCGTATAGCACGCAAACCACGACCCCGCAGAATGAATTGGCCCTCCTCTTTTCAGCACTTTAGTTGCCACTCATTTTTGAATGCTGTGCTGCCCACTTAACGCCACCTCTTTAGGGCAAGGGTGTGAGTTACAACCTTCCTCTAAGGGGAAGCACTTCTGTGCAGGGATTTTTGACACCAGTGTGTCACTCACTCATAGGGTGCAGCACAGAGGGTTTCTTGGTGTGCGTGTATGCGCTGGCATACAGCTGTTGCCTCCCATTTCTTTCCAGAAATTTGCTGGTTGTAGGGACAGTGAGAAACCTGTGGTTTAGAGGTCATTGTATGCCACTGTCTCTGCACGCATTCTGCATTCCCATCGGCTAGATGTCTTCAGAGATTTGGTTAGATGCCAAGGTTCTTCTCAAAGGTGTCATTGTTTATTTGGTACCTACCCCGTCGAGGCTTTCTAGGGTTCTTGCTTTTTGTTTTGTTACATTCCAGCCTCTTCAGTTTCCTTTCTTCTCTGGAAGCTTCATTGATGTGCCACTTGGGGTTCCCCCTCTCTCCCCTCCCCCCTTTGCTGATGATTAGCCAGATGGGCCTCTGTCCTGTGAGTCGTTTCTCCAGGGGGTGCTGGATTCCTTTGTATATACTGAACTCTGCTGCTGTGATTTCATAATCCCAATGATGGTGAAAAATAAATGCATTTCTGTGTATGTCTCCAAGCAGTGGTGGCTTCATTGTTCAGGCTGCCTCTTTCCCTCCCTCCAGCTGTCGGGGAGGAGAGAAGGGCTTGTGTTCAGAATTGATGAGAGCTCAGCGGCTGCATGGCTATGATCAAACTCACTGTAGAGGAATTAACGTTTATTCCCCCCCCCAACAAATAAGGTGGATTTGCATGATGAGCATATTTAAATTCTATATTTCTGTAACATTTTTGAGGGGAAGGTAAGGTTACCATCCTGTTTTTCTCTCTTGTTTTTGAAAGCAGAATAATTTACAAGGGCATTCCTAGTGGATATCCAAACCAAGCACATCCACTTAACAGTCCCTCCAAAAATGGTGTTCTTTTGCAGGTGTATTCTACAACATTACAGTGGAACTTTGGGTTAAGACCTTGTTTTGGAGGTCCGTTCTTAACCTGAGGTACCACTTTAGCTAATGGGGCCTCCCACTGCTGCCGCACAATTTCTGTTCTCATCCTGAAGCAAAGTTCTAAACCCAAGGTACTATTTCTAGGTTAGCGGAGTCTGTAACCTGAGGTACCACTGTACTATTATCACATATTACTATTTATTACCAACCTTCATCCCAAGGTCTTAGTTGAAAACAACTAAAAATTACGAAACCAAGGTGGGTCCTAAAAATATACATCTCACATCTCCAATGCCTGGGTGGACAGACGTGTTTTAGTTAAGGATTGTGCACGCATTACTGCTTACTCTGGCGCCGGTGCACTGCTGTTCAAAGTCATGTACACATGACATTAGCCACAAACCCTATGTACCCTGTAGTTTCTTGAGAAATGCTCCCGTTTGGTGCTCAAACCAGCTTCCATCGGATTTAAATACAGAACCTTCTGTTAGGCTGAGGCATTTTAGACCGGAGTCAGCCATTGCACATGCTCAGATGACAGCTTCATTGAATAGAAGTTTGGTAGGGGAGCTTGCAGGTGTGGGGAAGCAACTCAGGTACAGCAACTTGACACACGAAATGCATCACATGGGGGCGGGGGGGGGTTATCTCACTGTGGGGAGTGTGAACAGAAGCCCATTGTTGGGGGGGGAGGAGATGACCCCACTTTCAATGGGCTTACAATTTCCATTGGAATGTGCTTTCAGGAAATATGGGCAGGTACCCCTTGACCCTGTCAGGGGCTTGTTTTGTATGCATGAATCAAGTGGAACCTGCAACATTGGAGGATTTCGCCAAGGTTTAAGCCAGCCCAAGCAATTGTTACCCCCACACGTTCCAGTGCATTTTCCTATAACTTTCTAAGTCAGGGGTGGGGGAACAGATTAATTGCACAAGAATGCCAGTCACTTTAGTTGCACAGCCAGAACTTGCCAGCACATGCTGGAATTCCACCTGCAAATTAGGAAGTCTAGAAGTGCCCTCAGGAATTTCCCATCTTGCCGTTGCTTCCTACTGTGCAGAAGACATGTGTGTGGAAAGGAAAGGTGAGGGGTCCTTCATGTGTGGCTGGGTGGAGGCAGAAATTCTGTTCACTTCTCATTTTAGTATGAAGCTACGTACGTTGCGCCTTCTGAAACAAAATTTACCTCTCCGCATTTGCACTTACTTAAATTTGGCAATGTAGTTCAACCCACCAAAAATATACATATATTGGGGAAAAGTTTCAATCTAAAAAGCACACGGGAGTTAAAATAGCTTACAAACATTGTATCAGGGGAGAGTTGCTTGCAAAAAATATATATACAAAATACAGTCGGAATTGCACTGAAAAATGTTTGCTGTGAAAAAACGTGTGCTAAAATGCTGGTGCGTTTTCCATAGACAAGAAAAAAGTATTAATTGGCAAAAGGATGCAGACGTGGAGAACTGAAATTAACACGGGGGGGGGGGGGGGAAATGAGAGCCTGAAATTGACAAGAACTGTCCATCCTTGCTAGCAGCTTTTCTGGGAAACCTGCAAAGCTGCCTTGATCTTCAGTTGCTCGCTCTCTACTTGCATTTATTGGTTTAGATGTCAAGGGCCCCCCTGTCCATGGAGACCTCACACTGGCAGGATGGCTAAGCTAAGCACTGACATTGCCCCTAATTAAAAGCAGGTTGCTTTTAGTTGGCTGGCTTCATCCCTGAAACCCTGCAGCTTCCCTTTATTAAAGTTCCTCTAAACCGCTGCCTCCGTGGACCAGCGGTTCACACACTTTGCTGTTGTTTCCACCTCCACTGTCACAGCCTTGATTGATTACAAAGTCTGTGTCCCGGCTGACATTTGGGTTATTAGATCACGACTGCATGCTTTTGATGCAAATTGGACAAGTCATGGGAGCAAGGAGGCTTGAGTTCAGATCATGACACAAGCTCAGCCTCCTCATGTGTTATTTCTTTTCATTTATTCAATTTTTAAAACAAGAATTAATAGCCACTTGATCAAAAAACAAAACCACGTGCTTAAGCAGTCTGCATAAAACAATGTAAAATATCCGAAAGAAAACGCTCTGGAAATCAAGTTGAAAGGCAAATAGACATCGTGAACGTTTATTAAAGCATAGAGAAAAGCAATGGTTTTAAAAGCAGGCCTCATCTGCGCAATACATTTTTAAAGTAATATCATGCCACTTTAAGTAACCCTGGCTTCCCACAAAGAATCCTGGGAGCTGCATCTTGTTAAGCATGCTGAGAGTTGTTAAGAAGACCCAAACAGTGGTACCTTGGTTCTCGAACTTAATCCATTCTGGGAGTCTGTCCGTTCAAAAACCAAGGCGCGGCTTCCGATTGGCTGCAGGACCTTCCTGCACTCAAGTGGAAGCCATGTTGGATGTTTGGCTTCTGAAAAATGTTCGCCAACACTTGCTTCTGGGTTTGCGGCGTTCGGGAGCTAAAATGTACAAGTACCAAGGCATTTGAAAACCAAGGTACAACTGCATTCCTCTCAGAGGGCCACGATTCCCAGAGTGCTTTAACCACCAGTTTATCCTCCCAAGAAACTCAAGAATTATAGCTTTCAATAGGTCTACTTTGAGCAAAATTTAGTTGCAGGACACCCATTTGTTCTCATTTCTTTGGAGCACGGTTGCGTAGAACTCCATCCCCATCCCTAGAGATCTAGTCAGCTCCCTCCTTGCATAATATTTAGAATATGTTAAATGTTCTTAAATCTTCTTTAGCTTTTGTTTTGAAGTTTTCCTCTCTGCTGTTGCCTACATTTTTGACTCTCTTATTCTGCACTTGGTTTAATAATAATTTATTATTATTATTAAACCAAGTGCAGAATAAGAGAGTCAAAAATGTAGGCAACAGCAGAGAGGAAAACTTCAAAACAAAATTATAATAATTTATTATTATTATTATTATTATTATTATTATTATTATTATTATTATCTTACTGTGTTTGATTTGCTTTTATTGTATTTTAATTGTTTTCTTGTGAGGGGCTTTGGTGTCTGTTTAAGGGCTAGTGAGTGGCATTATCAGTGATTTTATAAATAAGGGTTTAAAAACTGGGACATGGTAACAGGGACGTAAGATGTTGCCTTATATTAAGTTGGAACAGTGGGCCATCTAGCTCAGTACTGCCTGCACTGACTGGCAGCGTCTCTCCAAGGTTTCAGACGGAGATGCTGGGGATTGAACCTGGGACATTGTGCATGCCCAACAGATGCTTCACCACTGAACTGTGGCTCTTCCCCTAATAACCACTGCAGTTAGCTGAATTCTGCACACAAGATGCTCAGTTATTTTTTTCAGTTTTGAAGGCACATGAAGTAGATTAAACCTCAAGGTTTCTAATAAATCAATCACAATTTCTCCCCCCTTAACAGGATATGGGCTGCATACATGCTGAGCCTCTTGGGCTTGCCAATCGGAAGGTCGGTGGTTCGAATCCGCACAACGGGGTGAGCTCCCATTGCTCTGCCCCAGCTTCTGCCAGCCTAGCAGTTCGAAAGCATGCCAGTGCAAGTGGTTAAATAGGTACCACAGCGGTGGGAAGGTAAACAGCGTTTCTGTGCGCTCTGGCACTCGTCATGGTCCTCTGTGCGCCAGTAGCTGTTTAGTCCTGCTGGCCACATGACCCGGAAAACTCTCTGTGGACAAACGCCGGCTCCCTTGGCCTGAAAGCGAGATAAGCGCCACAACCCCATAGTTGCCTTTGACTAGGCTTAACCGTCCAGGGGTCCTTTACCTTTACCTGCATACATTTAAAGAAGCACCGCCACCCCAAGTATTCTGGGAACTGTAGTTACCTTTCACAGAGCTACAATTCCCAGCAAACCTAACAAAATACAGTTTCCAGAATTTTTTGATATTTCTTTTTCTTGGGTGGGGGAAGAGAGTACACAGCCATGAACCTGATAATCCATTTTTGTCCTTCCCCTCTCGTCTTCATCTCACCAAGGTGACATTCTCTGGAATCTTCCCTTCATGCTCTCAAGCTCCGTTTCTTGCCAAAAGCTTTTTGGCACTCAGATTTCAGCTGATGCCAGCACAAGACCTGGAGAGATCAGGAGTAAACAAGTAAAATAAGTTGATGGGAGGAGAGTTCTCCTTCTTTTCCTCCCCCAATAAATTTCCCCTGACCCAAACCCCATTCTACATTCAGGGCGCCCCCTGGTGTCCTACTTTTTGGAGACCCAGCCTCTGTTTGGTAGGCTGTCAGGTCCAACGCCGGTTAAGAATGCTAAGAAAGGAGAGGCGCCTTGAAGTTGCCCATCCAGTTTGCATCACCTAGACAGCATGTCATACAGGTCACATGATCACAGTCCTTCCCACCATGGTAAGGGAATTGCAATTTAAATTATAGTAAAGGATTTCTAAAATTGCATGTATGCATAGAAATTAGCACACAGAAACTTAATGCAAACAAGTCCCTTTTGGGGCCAATGCATAAACAGCCCTCCTAACCCCAAATGCTGCAGAGAGGCTCTTTGGGGGTCTTATGGGGCAGCAGGAAGGAAGAGACAAGAACATTTTAAAAAATGCATTTATCTTAAATTTATTTGATTTAAGATCCAAGCCTATATATCTGTGATGCACAGGT